TGCCCACTCCACCTGGTCAGGACTGGTCAAGTCCCACTGCCCACTCCACCTGGTCAGGGCTGGTCAAGTCCCACTGCCCACTCCACCTGGTCAGGGCTGGTCAAGTCCCACTGTCCACTTCTCCTAGGTAACTGTGGGCTTCTCTGAGGGTCCGTCTTCTCTTCTCTGAGTTGGGATTGCTGATACTACCTTATGAGAGTGCGTTAATAATGCCAGACTCAGCCAGGTGCTGTGGCACACCTGTAATCCCAGCAGCTCGGGAGGCTGAGGTAAGAGGATCTCAAGCCAAAGTACCTTAGCAAGGCGCTAAGCAACACAGTGAGACCCTGTCACTAAATGAAGTACAAAAAAGGGCTGGAGAGGAGGTTCAGTGGTTGAGTGCCCCTGAGTGCAATCCCTGGAACCAAATAACAATAATAATAATGCCAGACTGATACACGCGCTCAACAACTGACAATTATTTTTGCATTTGACCAAGTCCTTCAGCACCCACTCTGTCCACACAGGGCACCCTCTCTACGTGGGGTGACTCCRACAAGAGGTACCATCTCATTTGATTCCTGGCCTCTGTCCCTGTTGTCAGTCATGAACAGCGTTTCTCATGCCTGGGACAACAGTGAGGCTAAGGGGGACCCAGTGTAAAGGAGGTCCTTGATGTCAGGGCTATTGGGCTTCTGATTGACTCCGAAGTCCCAAGCCTGACCCCAGAGTGACAGTCCTAGCTGCCTCACTCCCCTCCTTTCCCTTCCCTTCCCCATGTTCATTGCTAATCTGCAGAATCTCAGTGCTTCCTGCTCCCCACTATCCCCCCACTATCCCCCTGCAGAGCTCTAACACTCCCAACCCTTCCAATTTCCTTCTCTAATATGATACAGGCTGGGAAAGCAGGACTTAAAGTCTAAGAAGCTCTGCTCTTGGAATAGTGTGGGAACTTGGCCTCACTGAATTTGACGTCTCACGGAAAGAGGAGCTTGGTGCTTTCTTTCCTGGTTCAGTGTTTTGTTTCAAAAAGTTTGTCAAATAATTTCCAGAAGTGAGTTTTTATGCAGTAAAAGGTGGGAGCTGAATTCTTGCCCCAAGATTTCACTTGGGAACGCCTACCTTGGGACGACACTGCCAGAACTTTAAGTACATCAACACCACTCCACAGAGTGGCTATCATATCCCCATGGCATGGGCTAGAAGCCAAGCCTTTGGCCGCTCGTGCATGACTTCCTAGTGTGCTTTTCTGGCAAGTGCAGTGGGGAAGTGAGATTTTAAAATGCGTCAAGTGCAGTGTCAGATGCTGATTGTTACTTCCCATGAGGAAGGCATTATCCCATCCAAGACTCTAGAAAACTGAGGTTCAAGGTCAAGGCTGACCAGGCAGGGAGATGGCTAGAGGTACCATCTGAACCCCATTCCTTCATCCCAAAGCCACTGTTCCATGTATCAATTCAACCACTTCCTGGTGGTGCACAAATCAGCACAACAGGGTGGGATGAGCTTGGACAGAGCCCTGTCTACTTAGCGACTGCTCTCTCTGGTCTSTGTGTATTCCTGGCATTACTGAGTAAACAGAAACTCAAGCAAGCTGAGAAGTATTTTCGGGTCTGCCCCAAGCACTGAATATCCGCCCTTAGAGAGTGGAGTTTCGTTCTTACTATGAGTCAGGTTGTTGACAATCATCTCCACACTTCAGAACTGTGACTACTTTCTCAATAAGTGCCTCCAGATTCATTGCCAAGGGAAATAGGAGCTTCCTGGCCAGCCAGAGCGGCTCTGCCTCCAGACTGGGGCACAGGGAGGCACAGAAGAGCTGGGAGCCGCCTTTGGCTCTGAGACCAAGTGTGCGAGGCTTCCTCTGCTCAAGCAGCAGGCCTGCTTCTTCCTCCCAACGCTTAGCTCCACCCTGATGTCTAGAGTCTTCTCTGCCCAAAAAACTCTCTTGTAAGTCAGATGGACCATGGCTGATGGTGGCCGTCCCCTCCTCAGCAGCTGACTTCTCTTAAGACCCTGCAGCCCACTGCAGCACCTGGGCACTCAGCTGCAACCACACCCCTCTGTTGAGGTCATCAGAAACCCCTTGGCCTTGGCCACCTCCTTGGCACGGGAAGAGCGTTCAGCCTATGGGCATTCGCAAGTCTGCATAGCTTTAGGGCCAAGCTACATTTCCTGTCAGCCTTCCTCACAGCCCCCATGTTTCTGCTGAAGAAAAATACCTATGAGGAAGCATCATGGTCCTTCATCCCCTACAAAGCCCACTCAAGCCCGGCCTAGCCCCGTCTCTCTCCAGCTCAAAATTCTGCCATTCATCCCAGTGAGCTCCTCCCTGTGCCCACGGTCTCTCTGTCCCAGCACCTGCCTATATCTCTAGCCCATCCCTGCCCCTTTCCCCWCAAACCCCATTTGTCTGAACCATGGGCAGGGTCTCCATAAAGTCACACTGCCTCACGACTCCTGACTCCTGCTTTTGCACTAAGCTCTACTTCTGGAATGTTCTTCGTCACGTTGGCATCTCCGACATAGGTATGCACACAGGCCACCTCCTACCTGCTCTTGACAGAGTAGCAGTTCCTCCTCACCTCACAATGCCTCACCCATTGGCCCCTGCAGCAGCCTCCCTGGTGCCTGATGGGATGCGCAGGGCCCTTCACATGACACTCCCYCTGTCTGCCCACGGCCTGCCCCAACCAGAATGGGAGATCCTTCAAAGTGGAAGTCTTGCTTCCCGGAGCAAGTAACATGGTGTTGGGTACATAATTACATTATAGAAGCATAGAGAGATGGAAGGAAGGAAGGAAGGGAGGGAGGGAGGAAAGAAGGAAGGAAGGAAGGAAGGAAGGAAGGAAGGAAGGAAGGAAGGAAGGGAAGGAAGGAAGGAAGAAAAGGAAAAGTCACTTCAGAAAAAATATTCACAGGACACTAGTTCTATTATAAGAATCTACAGTGACTAAGTGACAGTCACTGTCATACAGAATGGAAATGGAAACTCTCCACAGTTCCTCTGGGATCCTCTTTAGTTCAGGCTGCCAGCAGGTAAGTCCCAGGGAAGCCCCGGGCTGTCCTCAAGGCAAAAGGGTGCACAAGACTGAGTCCTGCGGAGCAGTAAGCAAGGCCTCCACCCCACAGTAGCACAGGTCCTCACGTTCTCCAAGGGACACAGGGCATGGGTGTTCCCAGTGGCCCCTGCRTCACTGCCCTTGCAGAAGGCCATCTAGATAAGCCCCTCTGAGATGACATCCAGAAACCTGCTTTAAATCCAGAGGACAATGCTCTTTCTAGCCACTCACAGCTGTGCTGCAGATGCGCTTCAGCAGGAAAAGAGCCAATAAAGACAGACAGAAAGATCTGAAGAGAGACTTCCCATGAACGCCTCATGGAGAAGGGAGATGTGCAAAGCARAGAACAGCACAAAAAACTGAGAGGCGGAGGGAACTGAGCTTAAGCCTCCATGCTGCCCACGCCAGTCAACCTTGGCTGAGAGCTGTTCATGTGTTGAGAGCTGGTTATGTGCCGGGAGCTGGTTATGTGCCAGGAGCTGGTTAGGTGCCGAGAACTGGTTATGTGCAGGGAGCTGGTTATGTGCCAAGTACTGGTTATGTGCCGGGAGCTGGTTAGGTGCCAGAATCTGGTTATGTACAGGGAACTGGTTAGGTGCTGAGAGCTGATTATGTGCCAAGCACTGGTTATGTGCCAGGAGCTGGTTATGTGCTGAGGAGAGCTGGTTATGTGCTAAGAGCTGGTTATGTGCTGAGGAGAGCTGGTTATGTGCTGAGAGATGTGCTCTCTCTATGTCACCTCCTGCTCAAACCCCTGTCCCATGAGGTTGGCACTTTATCCCTGTTTCTCAGATTATGACCAGTGAGGATCAGGGATGCTCCCGAGATCCCACAAGGAGAGGGGCCTAGTGCCAGGACTTGAGGCCAGGTCCATCTGACCTGGAAGAGCAGTTTCCCAGCAGTGCCCACCACTGCTCACCACTGGTATCCTCATTCATACTATGGGTTTAACAGCACCCCACTCTCTGAAAACACCCCACTCTCTGGACAGAGGAATGCTAGCAAGGCCTTATGAATTAGAAGCCCACTAAAGGATATTAGATATTATAACTGACACCACAGAAAACACAGGCTTTTGTGAATTCCATTCTAGACCTTTCTAGGTTTTGGGGGGAGGTGGCTAATGRTGTGATTGACAGGTCTACGAGTCAAGGCCGCAGAAGTTAAAAAGCAGAATGTAGGTTTATCCTGGGCAGATATTGTCTAACAACAGCCTGCGAGCTAAAGTCACATCACCTTCTGCTTTGGTAAGTCCAGGTTCATTGGAACCCACTCACATTTTTCTCCCTGTGGTGACTGGGTRGAGTCATTTAGAAAGGGTATGGGCCACACAGCAAAAAATATCTGCCATCTGGCCCTTTACAGAAAAAGGTTGTGACTTCTGCTCTAGAGAAAATATCTCCCAGGCAAAACCCTTCAGKGGGTCCCTTGCCAGGCACCAGCCTGCAGTCCCTGAGGGCTCTCTGCAGCCCTTGCCAGCTGACGCCAGCTCTGCTTCCCGGCCCCTACAGTGGGCACACCCGCCTCTCCCCCCAGGCAAAACCGTCCTAGTTGATCCCTCTCCCATCTCCCAGTTGACAGGAACCAATCACTATTAGATCCCCAGAAGAGATCTTGAGATGAGATTTCTGGTCAGCCTGGTTATTTTAAGTGTATTTTGCGCGCGCGCGCGCACACACACACACACACACACACACACTCGAGTCTGACAGTATCCCAGGAGTCTTCATGTTAAAGGCTGCAAACATGGCTGCAATGTTTCTGGAGGACTCTCCCTCCCGGTTTCCTGTTCCTCCCACTCTGGGCAGAGGCCCCATCCACTCCTGCTCCTACTCCTTGTCCTGTTGTTTGGCATTTGTAGTCAGATGGAAAGATGGTCCACCTCACTTCACATGGGAGGAGGGCTCTGGTCCCAGAGGACCTGGGGTTACTTGTCCACTGATAGTCATCAGGCCACCTCAGGTCCCTCCCAGGACCTGCTCTGCTCTGCACAGGCAGAGCAGCCCGGGCCCAGGGCCCACTAAAGGTGCCTTATCTAATTGATGAAGGTTCAGACTCTTTGTCTGTTTGAGGGAAGATGGCCTGCCACCAAGGGCTGCTGTGAGAGTTAAATATTTGCACAGTCATGTTACACATTKCAAAATCCTTCATAAATGTTCATGGGAAGTTTCTGTTCTCTGTGCTGAGATTTAGAGGCATCTCACATCCAGCATGGGTTTGAATTTGGCCTATATTTCAAAGCCTTGTAGATTTTGTGTTGCCACCAAAATAAATAATGGAGAAAAAAAAACTGAGGACATCACTCTTTCTTCAACTCAATAAAAATGCTTCTCCATCTCACTCCACAGGGACRAGGCCTCCTCATCATGAAACCTGCAAAGCTTTGGTAGTAGAGAGATGTCCACATCCCCATTCCCAGGACCTGTTAATGCATGAAGTAGGCTACAGCGCAGAGGGGAATTAAGGTTGCAGATAGAATCGAGGTCACCAACCGACTGATCTTCTACTCCAGAGTKGCCTAGATCACCTACTACATGTAATTTAAAATTCCTAAGTTGTAAGGAGAGGYGATTGGGGACAAAAGGGGCAGAGAGCAGCAACACTGATGCCTTTGACAATGAAGAGAGGAAACCACCAGCCAAGAAACACGGCCAACCTTGAGAACCTGGAAAAGGCACAGGCCATCACACTCCCCAGGGCCTGCAGGAAGAAGGAGACCTGCCCACGCCTCGTTCCAGCCAGCAAAGCCCACAGGGRATCCAACCCACAAAACTTGAGGTAAGGAGCTACCTGTAGTTGACCCCCAACTGTGCGAATTTGTTGGGAGAGTAACTGGAAACTAATATAGCCTGCAGTCAAGGAACCTGCAGCTGCATTCCCATGAAAATGCCTTCAAAGATTCCCAAGGGCAAGAGCACAGACAGCCCAAGTAAATCCCGCCAGAAATCACCTCCCCGCATCGTGCACGTGCAGGCTGACGTGGCCATTTGAGCATTGTGGTGAGTGACGTAGCTATAACCAGGACACAGGGTGGACTGCGGCCTTCTTYACCCAGGCAGAGCAGCCCGGGCCCAGAGCCCAGGCTGCTTGAGAACTAGCAGAAGGGGAGGTTCCTAGGGGGCTTCTTCCTTTGCCTGCCCTCTGATGGTGGTGGCCCCRCAGAGCAGATGGCTGGCAATGTTCWCCAACTGGATACACAAGTGGTTCACCACTCCCCAGCTCCTCAGCTCCCCAGTGGCCTTTCCTGAACCTTCCAAGGCTTCCCACTAGCATTCCAGGGAGACATGTGGACCTACCACACCCCAGMAGGTCCTCGCTGGCATTGCTGGAGGCCGACACTTGGTAGAATCCTTCCAAGCACCCAAACCGTGTCCTGGGAGAGGTGCCCAAGCGGTCCCCCTGGAGGAAGCGGATGGAGGGGTCTGCCGGGAACACCCTGGAGTCCAGATGAAGTTGGAACAGGCCACTTTGGATCAGATCTGYGAAGCGCCCAAGGAAATCCTTGCCCACTAAGGACTCTTCTGTAAGACATAGATGAGCGGAGGTCACCTTGCTGCTCTCTGCAAGGCCAGGGAGTGYGGGGAGGCAGAGCCACCTACAGCATGAAAGCAGACATAGGCACGTCTGCTGCCTTATTTTACAGAGGGACAAACTGARGCCCCAAGAAGGAAACTGACTGACCCAAGGTTATATAGGAGTCAGAAGCACAAGTAGGACCCCAAGTTACAACCCAGGTCTTGAGCTCCTGTCACTTCTGTGGCACCAACATGACCCATGCTGGTACAGGATATCCTGTCTCAGTCACTGCTCCAGATACTCAGCCACCAACACCTCTAGAAAGGCACCCACCCAAGCCCCAGTTTTCACATCTGCAAAGCAGGCAAGGGGACACCTCTCCTACAGTGGTGAGGGGACCCTGTGAAGGGGTCACCCCAAGGAAGGCAGGGCCTGCRGAGGCCATGTGCCCTCTGCTTCAGAGTTCAGCTGGAGGCCAGGGAGGCCTTCAGCCTCCAGCGCCTCTTCCCTAGGAAGAAAGCAGGTGAGTGCCACATGTGGAGCTGGGTTGCACCCAGAGATGTTGGTGCTGCAGCGGGCAACTGGAAAGCCAGCCYGTGGTCTGAATCCACAGTCCACTGTCCTCACACTGGAGCCAGGGATAAATGTTTCATGCTTTTGCAGTTTGCCCATACACCAGTTATCCAGGACTCTTTAGAAGAAGGAGGATGGGACCCTGATTCATAATGCTCTTGGGGTGAGGGAGATACTTTTCACAGGGGGATTATTTCCATGAGGACAAAGGAGGGCAGGAGAGTGACAGAGCTGTGCTCCTGCATCATGCCCAGGCAAAGTTTTCCAGAAGTTCCTTCCTCACAGGACAGAGGGCAAGTTCTAGCTAGTCGTGACCCTGGGTGTTGGCCACTAGATGGTAGAAGAGAGCCCACCTCCAGCCTGGTTCGAAAGGTGTGGATTGTTTCCTTTCCCACCAGAAAGCTCGGAGCTAAACACAGCGCATGCTCCCAGTAGCTGCCCTACAACCCGTTCTGTCCTTCCTAAGCCTTGCCACTCTCTCAGTTGGTCCCATCTTAACAGCCTGTTTTAAATAGTGACAGTGGTCTGAGATGGTTTATCATTGGAAGTAGGTGGGACAGAAATGACAGTCAATGAAGACTTCCTCCCCTACCCCATGCTCCTTCTCACTATCTGTCCCCCTCTCCGCACAGACAATGAGGAGAATGTCCCCTCAGGCTTAATGTAGATGTTATTATTTGTTATAATTTGATGCCAGAAGCCAGTTWGGCTTGGGGTAGTTGGTTCTATTCAACCCTAGTAAGCTCTTGACCAGAGCTCGTGAGTCTGACATGCTTGTGAACACTCAGCTCCTGCCTGGCCCTGTACATCAATAACGCTCCTCACCATCACAGGAAGGTGCACGGGCTTCACCAGCTCCCTTTAGAGATGAGGAAACTGTCCCTCAGAGAGGCCTCGTGGCTCTGAGGCAGCAATGCAGAAAAACATACCAACGTCATGTAAGTCAGGAAGAGAGGCCACTGGGATGTCCTCAAGCTGAGACTTCCAAGTGACATTCACTCCTAGACGATCTGCAGCCAGACACCCCACCTGCACTGAGGAGTCCATGCAGGCAGGACTGGAGAGCAGYGTCCCCTTTGTCTTCACCTGCGGGGGGAGCAATGGGTTCCATTCAGAGTAGGAAGGAAGTCGGCCAAGAGCTGACACTAGGGGCCCAAGTGGGCTTGCGTCACTTCCTACACTCCTCCACCACCTTGCTTCAGGCATGGGGCCTTAGTAAGCTCCTCTCCCTCCCCTAGGAAATGAGGTTTGGTGATTGAATGAGCTGCCCTGGCCACACAGCCTACCTAGATGTGAGAGGCAGAAGAGCCAGGCTCTGGGCCAGAAGCCCAGCCTCTCCTAACTCATGTCACAGGGTTTAATTGGTGTCCCAGCCTCTGCCAACTCTGAAAATGTCTTCACCATGCACTCACCCAGCAGGGCACATACCCCTCAACCTGAACCCCATGCACCCACTGGCTCCTTCTTTTGACTATAGAGCCCCTTGTCCCCTTCCAGCCTGATTTTGAGCACACCAGGCCTGTAGAATGACTGAGAATGGAGGGACCACAGTCTCCTCCAGTCCCAGGGAGCAGGCAGAGGTGTGGGGCCTGCTGGCCCAAGGACAGGGCCTGGCATCAGTCCAGGGTCAAACACAAGCTGCMTCTTTCCCTCTTCACATCGTCCTCTTTGAAAGTGGGTCTTAGTCTGTCCTGGCTGCTATAACAAAAGGCCCTAGACACCTGAAAGTGGTAAAGACAACTRGAATTTATTTCTTAGGTTCTGGCATGGGGGCTGGCAAGGCCCAGATCAATGTGCCAGCAGATCCAGTGAGGACCCTCTTCATTGGACCCCTTTCCCTGGGCCCTGAGTTGGTGAAAGGCCAGGGATCTCTCTGGGTCGCTTTCACACAGGCTCTGACCCTCAGAGTCCTGCCGCCTCATGACCTGGTCACCTCCGATTGCCCTGCCTCCTCACATACCACCTCAGGTGTTGTGGGGGGTGAGACTTCAACATGTGGATTGGGGGGACTACAAACAGACCACTGCCACAAGTAATAGCATCTATACTAAGCCTGAGGGGAAGTTCACTTTTGCAAGCTTGGCATCTAGAAGGTGAGTGAGAAGGTGGGTGTCTGGGGAAAGCTTCTCAGAGGAAAGTGAAGCTGTCACCCACTCAGAAATCAGAGTGAGCTGGTGAGTGAYATCTCGCCCAGTGCAGAATAAGCCCACTGTCCTACCCACAGCCAACAAGGGCCTGAACGACATGCAGGCTCTAGGTCCTCCCTCGCGGCACCCACCCGCCCGGCTCCTCCATTCTACAGCGCATGCTAAGTGTTCTTCTATCACAGGAGCTCGACCTTCCTATTGATTCTGAGGGTTCCTCTTCCCCCCATCCCTAGGCCTCAGTCCTCTCCAATAACAGCATCCTGGAAGGGCCTCCSTGGCCATCTCTCTGACATATTCCCATCTTTCCTCCTCCCTCCCCTACCCACCCTGTGTTATTTCTCTTCCTGTCTCTTCCCATCCCAGTGTTCACTGTCAAGGACCCTGGACTCAGTTCCCAAGGGTGAAGAAGTGATCTGACCCACTGAACCCTAAGAAGATGCTCCCTTGGCCCCAACTCCAGCCAGGCTCCCTTGGCCCCAACTCCAGCCAGGCTCCCTTGAGCCCTCCTCCTGGTCCTTGACCTTGACCTGTGAAGATGTGAACAAACATAGCGGAAGTTCCAATGGCTCAAGGTCACACCTGCAGGATGACCCCCATCCCTCCCTTAAAGTGCCTGCCCAGAAAACTCGGGGCTGCCAAGAGAACATTCTGTTTGTTCCAGTTGATATCTGAAGACAGGGCCCTGTGTCCAGCTTCCAGGGGAGGGCAGGAGCCCATTGCGGTGAGAGCCAGCTGGCAGTCCCAGAGTGGGTCCACGTGGACACCCCCTTCCCACTCCTCATGATYGTTCACTTCCCTTCTGCCGAGCCCCATTTGCCCCTCCCTGCTCCTGCGTTTTCCCTTTCAAATGCTAGTCACCCTGGCCAAGCTGAAGTCCAGTCCAGCTCATGCTACACCCCTTCCTACTGCAGAGCTGCGTTACACTCTGCCCTAGCACGTTAATTCATGTCTAGATTAGATTGTCTTTGACAGTCCTCATACCAGAACCATGCCTGGCCTTTAACAGGAGATCTCACATTTGTTACACAGAAGAAAGAGAAAGGGAGAGAGAGAGAGGGGGAGGGAGGGAGGGAGGGAAGAAAGAAAGGAAAGGAAGGAAGAGAAAGAAAGGAAGAAGGAAAGAAGAAAGAAAGAGGGAAAGCTAGCTAGCTAGATAAGAATAGTGAAAGAGTGAAGGCAGAACTGGACCCACTAGGCTGTGGGAAACCTTGGGCAATCCATCCACCTTCTATAGGCCTTGGTCACTTAGAAGGTTAATGGCACCCACGGAGCAGGATGCCCACAGGGTCAGCAGTCAGGAATGTGGAGATCCCAGAATGGAGCCAGGAACACGTCAGTGTTCTCAAAATTAATATTGTTAAGTGTATTTCTTTGGAGAAAAGGACAAAATCTATTCACAGTTGTATTTGTTTTAAAATAAATACTGTCTTTTGTGAAAATATGTTTCTGACAAAATTCCTAACCTGAAATGCCAAACCTGAGCTGCTTTAATGATTTGGCAAACTCTGAACAGGAAGACTTTTGACTGGCTGAATTTTAAAGACTCGCTCCATGAACATTTGAGACTTCAGACCAGCAAAGCCCTTGTGTACAGCACAGCTGGAAAACCCGTCACTGTGACCGAGGGCTGCCTTGCAGGCGGCACCTAACACTCTCCTTCAAGGGAGCCTACAGTACTCCTTGTGGCTTGTCAAGGCACACATCTGGCTCCTGGTGCCAAGTGCATTGTGACATTTCAGCTTTCTTGCCCCTGGGTTCCCAGGCTCTTTCCCCATGGGGGTGGTAGTACTGCATGGTCACCACAAATCTGCTCCTGTCAGCCAACCTGCAGCCACCATCTCCAGCTATGTGACTCTGGGCCAATTATTGTAGCTCTCCGGTCTTTGCTCTCCTCATCTACAAAGTGGCAATGATCAGAGGGTCCCTGTGAGGATCACTTGGCTAACCTACAGCACAGGATGCAGGGTACCTTGCACAGGGTGAGTGCACACACCAGACGTCTTAATACAGAAAGAACAGCCAAGTCAAGGTGGCTTCCACCTCTGCCACAACGTWTTTAACCTTGGCCAAATTTCTCTCCAGGTCTCAGTCCCAATATGCCCAAGGAGTAAACTGAAGGAGGGTTGAATCTGAACCAGAGGTTCATTGGAGCCTGGAGGAGGTTACCTGACAGGAACCCTGTGCCCAGCCCAAGCTCTCACTGTAGGGAAGGCCAGGCGCTCACCTGGAGCTGGCAGAAACCAGGGCCTTACCTGGAGCTGGCAGAAACCACGGGCCTTCAGCTCGTCCAGCAGGAAGACCTGGAAAGCCGGCAGCAAGCCTGCGTAGTCAGCGCTGCACAGCTTCCCCGGCGGGAGCTGGAGCTGGAAGTGTGCTTGGCTCTGGATGGTCTGCCACAGTTGAGGCCCTACACAACACAGGGGTCAGCAGGAGAGGCCCCGAGACCCCTTCCCTCTACAGAGGCAGCTCTCCTCATCAAGCTTAAAATACACAAGGGTCTCGGTTCTGTTCTGCAGCCTCAGAACCCAAACACTCCCCAACATGAGGGCTGGCCTCCGAACACTGACCACCCTCACAGCAAGCCCTGCCTCCRTCTCTGAATCAGGGTGCTTTAGAGGATCCTGCAAGATTCTCTTTGKAAAATGTTCCCACCTGGGCAGGGTGCAGGCCCCTGGCCCTACCAGGCATGAGCCCTGGAGGTCTGGGTGGGCCTGGAGGACAGGGCGGCGGGGCAGAGCCCCTCTAGGAGCAGGAGGAGCACCTGTGAGCAACCAACCCTACCACCCTGTGGGGCCCCGCCTGCTAAACACTGGTCCTTAATCCAGGATGCTCAGGAGAGCTGGAATGGCGGCAGTTCTCTCAAGGAGCAGAGAAGCCACACATGGCTCCAGAGAAGCCTCAGGTGAAGCCCAAGCATCTCCCCTTCCAGAAGAAAATGCTCCCCGGGCCCTCACTCCTGCTCCTGTTGCCACCAGGCCTACCGGGAGAAGGCCACATTTGGGGGTGGGACAAGAATCAGCCCCACRTTCACCTTCCAGCCCCCACTCAGCACTGGCCCTGGGAGCGAGTGGGGTGCAGGACACACATCGGGGTCACTTACGCTGGCAGGCCCGGGGCGGTGGAGGCTGTGTCACCCAGCGTCCGCTGTCCAGGCTGCACACCAGTGGCCCCAGGGCAAAGGCGCTCCGGAAGCCCTGGCGGCAGAGCACCCGGCACTGCTGCTCGGCAGCTCCCCCTGGGCCCRAGGCTCCCTCACAGAGGATCACTCCACCAGCCACCTCCAACCCAGAGAAGGGCAGGGGGCACTGTGGGCCTGCAGGGTGGAGAGAGGAGAGCAACACTGGGGTACCTGCGGCTCTAGTCCAGCTTGCCCTGCTCAGCCACCCGCCCTTCCTCCTGCCCCTGCCCACTGCTGGCCCKGCCTGCACATTCCTGGACCAGCTTTATCAGGTGGCTGGGCACACCCTCTCGGCGCAGGCACTCTTGCCCTTCTTCCCTCTCAAAGCCCAATGACCACTCATCCATCTTCCCCAGCCTACAGCACATGCAACCCCTGCTTCGGCACCTTGAGCCCAAGGAGTGGCACCCTCAGTCCCCAACTGCCCCAAGACAGAAGCACAGCCGCCCTCCTGCTGGGTCCCATGTCCTCTTCCCATGTCCACAGCGAAGCCTGTGGCTCAGGCCTTCCCAACATCCCTCCAGCCCCACTGCCAGGTCCCCCAGTTAGAGCAGACCCCAGCCCCACTCCTGCCTGGGACTCCTTTCCTTGGTCCAGGGTCAGCGCAGCTCCTTCCCCTGGAGCCCCAGGCCCTGGTGTGGACCTGCATCCTGTCCGCTATTCCAGATCTTTGGTACCTGGACCCTGGTACCAAATCTTCTCAGGGGATTGGGTCCTTGGGTAGAAGGAGGGCTTCCCTCTGTTTACCSGGGTCTCAGCTAGATGCCGCCCCARCAGTTCAGTGGGGATGTGTTAAATAAAGGGGGAATGAGCCCATGAGGGAGCAAACACAATGTGGCGATTTCACATGTGATTAGAGATTTGGTTAATCACCAGGCCTCAGGCACACTGTTGCTGCCAGAATATGTCAGTCTTTAAAATCTGCAGGGTAAGTGTGACAGACAGCAGGGGCCCCAGAGGCAGGGCTCCAAGACCTGAGAGACACAGCTCCAYCTCTGGGCATGGCCTGATTTTTATTCCAACAAGAACACTGGCCTCTGGCCAAGATCCCGAGCTGTGACCTGCTGTGATCTGGTTGAGCTGCCTCTTACCGAATGCTGTGCGGGCAGCAGGGAGTTGGCCTGATGGCTGTGGGGCCAGCTTGCCAGGAAGTGAGTCTGGCTCTATCACTTATTAGCTAAATTCCCTGGAGCAAGTCAGTTGCTTCTCTATGACTCTGTTTCCTCAAAATAGTGAGAAGAACAGTAATGCCTACCTCCTAGAGGAAGCAGTTATTTAAAAACAACTTATGGGGCTCTCATTATGTGCTAGGTGTACTATGAAAAACTTTGCAAACATTAATTAGCTCATGTAATTCTCCCCACAGCCCCATGGGTTAGGCCCCATCGTCTGTATTTCAGGGCAAGGAGACTGAGGCACAGAGGGTGAGTACCTTGCCTCCATCAGAGAGCTGCTGTGTGGACCCAGGTCCTCAGCTCTGTGCAAGCATATTCATTAAGTGTACTAGCAATCCCAGTGCTAAGCAGTGTAGCGATGACCTCAATTAGTCCTCACAGCGACTCAGAAATAACTACTATTGGAAACCAAGGTCCAGGGAGCTTAAGGGGCTAGCTCCAGGTCTCTAGYCCGTGAGTGGGGAGCGGACACATAAGTACTGCAGTCTACCCCCAACTCTGAGCTTCCTCCACCACGTTCTGCAGAAAGTCAGGAGGCAGCTTCGGGGACTCACATCTGAGCCCTCCTCACGGTGAACACATGAACCTCGAGCCTAATGACACCAGGAACCCAGGACTGTTCCTCTTCCCTGGGCCTGAATGAATGGTTTCTTGGCCCTGGATGACATGATCAGGGGTCCAGGGCACTCGGAACTTGGAAGGAATATGGGCGATATCTCTAAGTCCCATCACGTTAAATCATGCAGCTTTCCCAGCCGACTCCCTCAACTGAGGCAATCGGAAGAGACCAGACAGAGCTGCTGTGCCTGCCACCTCCCACCAAGTTATTTCCCACCCCATCTAGACTTCAACTCAGACCCAAGGCCCTTGTCAGTGCCACAGTTAAGCCCTAGTAACCATCCACACCACGGCCCTGGACTACTCGGCAGATGAAGGAGACCTGCTCGGCGACAGGAAAAGAARATAAAGTGCCGCTTCCCTCATTTCTCTTTCATCTTCCACACCATCAATAAGTGACCTTCCTGAGCCTGCCTCCTGTCCTCTCCTACAGCTGTATAACAGAGTCAGCCAGCAGGACCCCTAGATAAATTCTGGTTGTTTTCTTTCAATGTGTGACTTGGCCATGTCCATAAACCTCTTTAGCCTCAATTTTGCCATCTGTAAAATGGGGAGAGAAGAGTGCTCTATTTGTCTGCATCATTCAAAGGCAAAAATAAAATGAGGGGTGTGAAAGGCACCTTTAGCAGGCATAAATAAGTCTCTGCCTGCTACCATTCCTAGATGGCCCGCAGAGTGGATTTTGGCCCCGCAGAGTGAATTTTGGCTGTGCTTGACTGAAAGCCGATCCTGCTCCCCTCTCCTATCTCAGAAGAACATCTCACTGAGCACCTGCTAGGTACCCCATTGGTGGCAGCCGTCGAGGGCCGTGGAGATGAGTGTGAAGAGGGCCACTGTGTACACAGGGGAAAACAGGGAGGAAGCACCTAGGAGAGCCTGGGGCACAGCTCCAGAGTGGGAAGGAGAGAGGATGAGGGAAAGTAGGCTCTCCCCACCTACTGCCACCTCCTTCACAGGGGCAGCCAGGGCCTGCTCCACCTTCTTACAGCTCTGCTCCAAAATGGTGCTTAGAGATTGGAAAATGTAAAGTCAACAAGCAAAAAATAAGCACAGCCAAAGAAGTGAAGTGCAGTCAAAGCAGGATCTTGCACAGCAGTATTCCTCGACACTGCGGGCCTCATCTCCCCAGTATGTGACAGATATTTCTAATGTCTCCGTTTCCTGGGATGAAATTCACAGATAGTCTCACGCACATGCTCCTGAAAATGTTTAAATGATTGTGATGTCCCGTGAGTAGACTTTAATATCTAATAATGTACTTCAGTATTCTAACATAGGCAGGTGATGTTTCTTTCAGTATTTGATCTTCAGATAATTTTTTAAACTAGAGATAAAAATTAACAAGTCAGCAACTCCACAGACACCTCAAGTGCCCCCGCGGGGTGCGTCCATCCTGAGGTCCTGCAATCAGGTTCCCTCCTCTGACAGGGACCAAGAGTCCTCCTTGGGTCAGCGACAGAGCTTCCTAGGCACCAGCTCTGGAGCGTCCCTGGCCAGGCACTTCCCAACTGCAGTCYCATGGAGCATTTTCAGGAAGTGGGCATAATTTCCCCGTGGTGGCACTCAGTCTCCAGGGCCCTCTTGCGCTCCCTTCCCACTCCCATCCCCATGGCCTCACTTCCTGGAGCCCTACCTGTGCAGGGATGGTCCAAGGGGCAGAACTTACTTTCACAGGCGGGCTGGCTGCCCACCACGCGGGTCCCGGGCACCTCCTCTCCACTCTCCAGCACACACCAGCAGCTGCCCTGAGTCGGGTCACACTGCACTGGGGAAAAGCCCCCATCCTGTGTCCTGCAGGCTGGGACATAGCCTGGGCCGATGGCCCTGGAGAGGGCTCCACTCCTGAGGACTTCACAGAGGCCTGGGCCTGGACAAAGACACAAGTCAGGTGGCGCAGGCTCACGGCTCCTGCTCCCTGTTTGGGCACAGCAACAACAGCTCCCTGCCACCCACTGCCACCCCGCCAACCCGCCTGCAGGACTCCAGGGTTTACACTCTCCCCTCATCTGTCCTCAAGGTGCTTAGGACCTTAAAGGAGAGGTAGGTGAGGGGCAAGGACAGTTCAGTGAGACGAGGGTGACAGGTGTGGAGTGCAGGAAGCACTGAGAGGCCAGCAAAGGGCTCCAGAGGGAAGGCTGGCAGGTGCGTGAGGGTCAGCCGGGGATGTGTGCCAGGGGACACGCTGTGGGCAGCGGAGCCGGGCTTAAAGAAGCTCCTGGGGAGACAGCATCCGCCCTCTCCCAGGTCTGACAGAACTGATCACAATCAGAGCCCACAGCAAAGGTGAGGAGGAGCATGAGAACCAAAGAAGGCAGGAGGGAGCCGGGTGTGACCCTGGGCCATGCCAAAGGCCCATCTGGCCCCGAGGGCCACGAAGCATCCTTGGTCTCTGGCAGATGGGAGACATAGGCACCTTGCCCTTCAGGCACACCCCTGGTCTCCCCTGTGGAAGCCAGGCTGCCTGGCTAGGCTGAAAGCCAGGGCCAGGTGCAGCCCACTGTGCATCAGGCCCTGCAGCGGTCACCCCAAGARCACCAGTGCCCCTGTGACAGGGCAGTTCTGGGTGGGCTTCCCCGTCACAAAGCCCAGCCACTCTGCTGCACTGGCTTCTCTGACAGCGGGTAAGACCCCCCTTCCCCTGGGGAGAAAACTGGGTGGGTGAGGTCCCAGACATGTGCCCACAGCTACAGAAGCACCAGGGCTGGGACAGGACCCAGGTCTGGGGACTGCACACCCAGCGCTCAGTGGGGAGGTAGAGAGGTGACAAGAGGGGGACAACTACTCACACTGGCCACTGCTGCTCATGCCAGGTGACACTTCTTCTCCTGATGCAGGGTGCACACATGTGGTGCGCCCCTCGGTCGCCTGCAGACTGGCATACTCTCCTGTCTGAGATAAAGCCAAGGTCACAGCACTGAGCAGTGCTTTGCAGTCCGCCTATGGGTGGGTGGAGGTCTGTAGGAGGGCCCTCCCCAAACACCGACCACGGCCTCTCCTAGCAGAGAAGGGCATTCTGTTCAGGAGGTCACTACCTGCTTCTGTCCTGCACATCCACAGTGGAGCTGATGGTTAAATGGAGCTGATGGTTACAACAACCCCACAAGGCAAGGATGTCATTACCCCTCTGAGGCTGGGGACCAATTCTAGTGACCCTTCATCCCAGAGGGGAGGGAATGGAGCAGGGCCTGGGCTGGTTGAGTGGCAGGTCGGGCCCAGGGCCCCAATCCTTCTAGCCCCTGAGCCCTCAMTCTCCTGAGCCAACCCCGCCACTGAAGAAGTGATTTTTACACAGGAACCCTGGGGAAGGCCTGAGTATCTGACTGGAAATAAAGATGCCATCCAAGGAAACTACTAGAACTCATCTGGGTAGGGACCCAGAGCAGCACCCTGGGATCAGCCCTTTTACCTCACTGCCCCAGGCCAGCTGGGACCCTGGCATGCCTCTTCACACAATCAGAGCCTCAGTTCCCCACCTCAGAAGACAGGAGGAGAGGGCACTGCATGCATGGGGCCAAAGCCACCAGCAGAAACCCAGGGCAGGCCGGGACTGCACCTGCAGAACTTCCTTCAGGGCTCCCTGACCACAGAAAGTCCCCTGCCCACGACTGTAGCCCCCAGCACCATCCGAAGTGCTCTGGGGAGAGGCGTTTMCTGGCTGCTGCTGGTTCCTCTAGTATTTGTTGCTACTTTTTCACTTACAATCTGCTGTGCCTGGTTTGCCAACAAGCAATGACAATGACATGGCATCTGACATTTGCCAAGACTGGAACCACGAGGCTCATGGTGTGCTCCCATCCACCCACTCCTGGTGCCATTTGTACCCACACGGCACCTGGGGAGGGAGGACCCCTACTGTCCTCACTCTCCAGAGAGAGGCCCAGAGAGATCAGGTGACGAGTCTCTGGTCACACAGCTTGAAAGCTGCAGAGGTAAGACTCCAACCCAAGCAAATGTTTGAGAAAATTATGGTTATCAGGCTTGAAACTGAGGACATTCTGGCCATGATCTTGACTCTACCTAGGGGCAGGCTACAGACATGGCATTCCGTTTGGGCGGGGAGAGCCTTGGGTGCTGTTTATCGGCACAGCCCTGCTCCAGGGCTGGACATGAGAACCACTGGGTCCCAGGGTGACCAGGCCGTGGGCTGGAATCAGGTTGCCCATCTCAGGGGCTGTGCTTCCACCTTCCCTCCCTCACTAGCATCAGTGCCGGGACAAGGAGCAGGGGCTGTGTTAGCCAAGACAAAAGAGTTCACCATGTGGCTAATTCTCTGCAGACTCACTCATAATTGAGCCATGTTCACAGTGGCCAATAGCGATAAGGAAATCCGCTCGGCACTTCCAGCCTGTGCTATGCCGAATTCATGTCACTTTCTGGAAGCCCCTGGGGCTGAGTAGAGCAAGCAGTGGTGTCCCATAACTCCTACCTTAGGGGAAAGAGACAGGGGCACAGGTGTTCTATCACCTGGCAGGTCAGGGTGAGATCCCAGGCACGAGCTCTTTCTCTGGGAGCCTTGGTCAGGGCTTCTGTCAATCATCACGGTCACCCAGGAARCCGGGAAGCACATGGGATGAAGCCCCAGTGCAGGCCCTGGGCCAGCAAACAGCACCCAAGGGTGGGAACCTGCGGAACCCAGGGATCTGGCCCAGAGGACTCCAGGAAACACAAGGTAGCAGCTGTACAGGTGCGCGGTCATCATCAAACACTTTTCATGAGAAATATTTCCTCAAATCAATCTCAGTACAAGACAGAACAAAATATGGCCTAATTTTATGTTAAAAAAAAAAAAAAGCCACTGGAGCACAGAGAAGGTAACTGAGTTGCCTAAGGACACACRGTCAGGGTCTACTAGGCCCACGGCAAATACCCAGGCTCAAGATTCCTTATGAGTCTTTGAGGAAGCCAGGTTAGCTGAAAACTAGAAGAGCCATCCTCAACCAGAGGAGGTGAGCTCTGCCTCCTTCCTCACTCTCCTGAGCCTCGGAGCCTCACCTCTAGGCAGGTGGGGGTGAACAGGTCTTCCGGAGATGGGTTTTCTTGGGATACAGCCTGTTTCCAACCGGAAAGCAGCCCGTTGGCTAGAGACGTCTCACAGGTGGAGGGGCCTGTGGGAGTAGCGGGTTGGCTGGGGTCACCAAGGGAAGGCAGCAGCCCTGGCTGACTCCAGGTTTCAGAGGTGGCATCGAGGGAGGAGGTACCCTTCACAGAGAGCTGGAAGCTCGTGAGATGTGCCAGMTTTGAGATGTCGAGGGCCATTGATGGCACACGGCTGGCACTCAGGGGACAGGCGGGGACTGCAGGTACAGTTGAGAGTGGGAGATGAAGCCAGAGCAGTGACTGAACTGCCCCAYGTGCAGCGTGTGGGAATAGAGCCCCTTCCTGCTCCTGCTCCCAGCCCGTCCCTCCACCCACCCATCCAGGAGCAACCACCAGGAAGGAGGGGTCAGCACTAGCCCTGGCCCTGGGGTCTTGGGGAAATGTTTCTGGTTGTGCTCAGGGGTAGGTCTGAAGGGCTGGCCCATGGAGCCATCCCACGTGTGAGTGACCACAGCTGGCTCCATCAGCCTCGCCTGCTGGGCTGCGGCTAGACAGTGCTGGGCTGCGGCTAGACAATCCTGGGCTTCACTCACACTGGGGGAGGTCTGGGGAGCGCGCAGTCAACGAGGCAGGAGTGGGCTCCCCCTTCCCGTCCACGCACCAGCAGTGCCCTGGAAAAGAGCCACAAGCCAGATGTTCAGGAAGCACCCTGGGGACACTCCTGGGCATCTATAAGCAACCTCCCTCTCTTGCATTCCTAGCAGTCGTGGCCAGGTGCCGGCCTTCCCGCCTGGCACCGTTCACCATCACAGGTCTTGGCATCCAYGCCCTTGACCTTCCAGATGGCTGCAGGGCTCTGCTTCTCTCACACAGCACACAGAGGAGACAACCAGAGGCCCGAGGAGCTAAGGGCTTTGTCCAGGTTGCCGAGGAGAAAGGGACCCAGGAGTCCAACCTACTTGCTTCCCCAAATGGGGTTCTTTCCTCTAAGAGAAATAAACGGGCATCACTCAGCTACCCCAGGTCCCCTTACCGGTCCCAGCGTGGCACTGCACGGGCTCCCAGTTTCCGAAGGCATCACACTGCGGCACGTAGGGGCCAGATCGCAGAGGGCCCACTGTTCCAGAGGGGTCCTCCAGAGACGATCCACTTCGCTGATAGAAGCTCAAGGCTGGAGTCACAGCAGAAGAGCAGAATGTGACCACCTGCCCTGGGCGCCCTGTCACAGAGAGCCACCCAATACGGCTCCGCTCCGACATAAGCAACCCAGAATAGGGTGGCCTTCTTATTTATCTGACAAACATTAACCCCAAAATATTGTAGAGGCCCCTCAGATGGTGGGTAGGCTCTCAGCAGATTGTCCTATAACAATAGTTCCTGGGCTACACAGTGAAAGTCTCTGCAGCTCCCCACGGTGACGGTGACGTCCATACAGGTGGACTAGCCCAGGGACGGCTTCAGCACATGTGCTACCGACCTCATCGTAGGTGGGACTGACAATAACTTACAAGGCACCTGCCGGGTGCTGTGTAAGCACATATTTTAGTCAATTTCAGAGGTCAGCCCAAGTCAGCCCTCTTGGCCTCCCTGGCAAACTCCTGCAGGTGGGTTCTCTACCCCTTCAAAGCTTGCTCACCCACACAACCTCGTCTGCTCTTCACAGCAGCTCCAAGAAGTCAGGGGCAGAGGCTCAATAAGGGGGGCTACATGAAGCCCCTGCAGGTGCCCTGGTAAGGGGCCCCGAGCCCCTCCCAGCCCCGGCACCGGCCTCACCGCCTGGCTTTTCCAGACAGCAGTCTCCACTACCAGCACTCAGATGTGGCCTCAGACATTCGTCTAGGGTTGCCCCTGCCACCCCGTGCTGGCATTCAAGCTCCTCGGTGCAAAGCTTTGCACGTGCATCGCACATACAGCCGCACCTGGCCACACTGTGCACCCGGAAATGACTGAATGCATGCATGAGGTGAGAGGAGGACGAGAGGAGGGCAGTGGGCAGGACACACAGCCACTGGCCTGGGTCTCCCAGCCCCAACACCTGCTCCTGCCACTCTGCAGTCTGACCGGCCTCTCCCCCATCTCCTTCTAGGTAGCCATGACCTGTCTCCAGGCCCTTCCTCCAGTTGGATCTGCAACCTCCTCTCCTCAGTGCAGGTGCCAGGGAGGGAGTAGGGGCTTCTCACCAGGTCCTAGAGGAGAACAACCACTTCTAGGGCATTCCAGGTGATGTCATCTGCTACACACAGGACAGTTCTTCCCAACTTGTCACCCTTAGAAACGGGCTTTATGGCTCTAGTGGGGAGAGAGCTTAAGAGCCCATCTGGGGACACCAAGAGCCACCTTTGAAGCAGCCTGGTACAGCAGGAGAGCTCTGGAGTCCRGTAAGCTTGTGCCTAAATCCTGGCATGGTACCTCTTATCTGCGTGATCATGAGTGAGTTAACCAACCATTAACCAAGTCGGAGCTTGACTTTTCTATGGAACAGCTGCAATATTTATTTAACAGGGTAAATGTGATCATTGCAACAAAAGTCCCGATAGGCATTAAGTACTGAGCTCATGCCAGGCTCAGTTATACGTACTTCCCTCCAAGGACATCCTGAAGCCCTCCCACAGCCCCGAGGCCCTAGACACTGATGGCAAGTTCTATAGGCAAAGGTGCTTTGTGGCCCTCATTCTCTCCCTGTTCTGGGCCCTGAGTGCTCAGACTCTCAGGGAGAAGAGCCCCGTTCCTTGTCTATGGATTCTTCCTCTTTCTCCAGAGGCAGACATGCAAAACCAGAGCATGTGGCTAGCTGGAGAGGAACTTCCTTAGCTTGACTTCTAAAGAAAATGTCCTCATGTCATTCAGTGGTGAGTCTCTGTCGCACCTCTAGCTTTCTCTTCCCTTCCCTGCATTTCCCACCCCAAGTCCAGTGGCCACAACTGAAGGTCCATCAGTGCCACTTCTCTCTTGGATTGCATCAAGCCCTATCCATGCATGAAATTGACAATAACTTGTTTCTTTTCAAAAGCAGAAGTYGTTGAGTCTCTGAGGAACAGAGAACAGAGGTGCCTGGGCACAGGCTAAGGGGAGTAGATGGAGCAAAATGGGGTGAGAGGAGGAGAGTRAGAGGGTGAACCACCATGGGAGCTCCTGCTCCAGGCCAGGTGCTGAGCTGCCCTGGAGGTAAAGGTGAGCAGGACGTGGTGCCTTGACTTCCAGGAGAGTTGCGTGGTAAGGAAGAGGGCCAGGAACCAAAGGCAACCTCAGGAGATTCTCATGTGGGGTCAGAAGAACAAAGATCCCAAGCCTCCAGGGGACTCCAGCAATGGGAGACAGGAAGGTGCCAGCCCTCTGCCTGGCTCCATCTGCCTTGGTAAGAAGCTCATGGGACCCAAGCCCAGGAAACTCCAGATAGAGGATCACCCAGCAAAACTGGAAAGGGATGGGAGTCTCAGGTAAGGCTCAGACAGGAGAATCCTGTGTCTGCCAAGTTGRTGTGGGGTCAGGGTGAGAACCCAGGGCTCAGGCCCTCCTGCCAGTGGTTGAGGGTGGAGCAGGCAGAACATGGGCTCCGGGAGGCAGTAGGTCTTGGCACATCCCTGAGACCTGCTGGGCAGGGGGCAGAGGTACTCAGGGCATGGGCCCGAGGCCCTGACCAACAGGTGCCCATCTGGGCTTTCTTGGGTGATAGATGAGTGGCACCAGGCTGTGACTTCACTCAGGGCTCAGTTTCCCCATTTGTAAAATATCCACAGATGGTGATTATAGCTTTGTGCCTCTGAATGTATTAGAAGATTTACTGCAAAGATGTGGTCCTCCTCGACATGGTAAGGGCCTGGTCCAGGGTGAGGATGGTTCTGTGGCTGCTGCTGGGGCTGCAGGCCTGCAGATCCTCTGTGGCTCTGTCCCATGCAGGCAGTGAGGTGTGACCTTGGGTTCAGTGAGCTGCCCTGCCATGGTCCTGATAAAGAGGCCCCCTCACCCTTCCCCACATGGGGTCCTGCATCCTTGGATATGGATGAAAGCGTAGRAACAGGCCATGGGGGTGTGGAAGCATTTGGGCCACTCACATTTCAAAAAGACGGTGAGGTTTCACAGGCCATCTGCCACACAGAGCATGGAGGCCTGTCCCCAGTGGGTCTGGCAGCATTTAGGAGGAGTGTGCACCTTTCCAGCTCTGACTGGGGACACAAAACCACTTTGCCTTTTCTTCCCCAGGAACCCACCAGCCTGGGGAAATGGAGTAGTGCAGCCCTGGGGACGGCAAGGTGGAGTGGGAAAACTCAGCACTCAGCACTCACTAGACTGAGCCACCAAACGGATGGCATCATCGCTCCCACGCAGAAACTTCTCCAAGAAAGCCTCCCGGGAAGGGAGCGGAGGAAGGCCCAGCTCCTCGTTGGTCAGCTGGATTCCTTTGGCCACCAGGAAACTCTCTCCCAAAGGGAAGCGGGAGCTGTTGGAAGCTGAGACAATCTCTTCCGCTTCCTTAATGAACTGCAGGACACCACGCTTAGCTTCCTCACAGGAGCCAGGACCTAGGGGAACAAAAACAGCCCCCTGGCATTATTCACCATGCACAGCTCCGCTGAGCTGGGCAAGGGCCCACGTGCACACACACAGCACTCAGCCATTCCCCTTGAACTAGCTCTGGCCACAGCTGGAATGTCCTTCCTGCCTCGCCTCCAGGATTTCACTCACTCAACATTCATGGTGCACCTACACCTTAGGACTCTATTAGGTGATGTATGCTGCATGCTGTGCATGTACTCCTACTGCCCRGGAGTTCTAGAAGATTCTATGAGGCATGGTAGCTGAAGTGCCACACACAGTGCCTGGCACACACAGTCCCTGGAATCAACACCATGCCAAGCACCACCCTCATTGGATTTATTTCAGCCAATCACAATATAAATTTCACAGTGGTAGGAACCCATGGATTCTTGTGAGGGCAGGAGATTGGAAGAACACTTTGACTTCTGGAATTTAAAGACATTATTGTTCTCTTGATCAAATGAATATTCCTAATCAAATAATCTATCAATCCCAGGGATTTGGTACCCTGACACAAAAAAAAGAAAGAAAAAAGAAAAGAAATCATATTTAAAAACATCTACTCACTCTCCATTGCTTCCAAGATAAAGCAAAAGTTCTTTAACTGGGCACCTACAAGCTTTTAAAATCTAGCCCAAATGTGTCTTCCACCTCTTCTGATCATCTTCTTCCTTCCACCAGTCTGTCCTCCAGGCAACAAAACTGGCTGTGCTACAGCTTCTCTGTCTTGGCACTTGAAATTTCCTCTGTCCAGAAGGAACATTCCCCATGTTTCATCCCAAAAGCTGGTGCCAAGAAAATCTCTACCTTGGTCACCAATCAGAGAGTAGCCCCATGCCCTGGGCATCTTCTGCATATTTCTGTGGACTCCCTTGGGTTCCATTATCACAACTATTTATAATGGACCTGATGACATGTTCAGTTTTGCCCACTGGTCTCTGAGCTCCTCAGGGCAGATTACACTCTTTCCTTGATTCTCTATCATATAGCACAGCGTACACAGTAGGTGGTACATAAATGCATATTAAAGAAAGTAAATTTTCAAAAGAAACATCATGRTGAACTCTATTGAAATACAATAATCAGAAACTATTTTGAAAATTTATACTCTAATAAAATAGAAAAGCTTGAAGACATTGACAAACTTCTGGGCACATAGGAATCCAAATTGAATCAGGAAGACACAGAACATCCAAGCAGATCAATTTCAAGCAATTACATTGAAGACCATCAAAAGCCTGCCAACAAAGAAAAGCCCAGGACCACACGGATACTCAGCCAAGTTCTTAAAAACCTTCAGAGAAGAACATCACTAATCCTCCTTAAATTATTCCATGAACTATAAAAAGAAGCAACCCTTCCAAGCTCATTGTAAGAAGCTAGTATCACTTTGATATCAAAACCAAAGAAAGACACATCAAGGAATATCAGAATAATATCCCTGATGAACATAGATGCAAAAATCCTTAATAAAATGCTAGCAAATTGCATACAAAAACATATTATAAAGATAGTGCACCATGATCAAATGGGAATGCAAGGTTGGTTCAACATATAGAAATCAATAAGCATAATTCAACATATCAATAGACTTAAAGATAAGAATCACATGATTATCTCAATAGATGCAGAAAAAGCACTTGACAAAATACAGCACCCCTTCATGTTCAAAACACTAGGAAAAACTAGGGATAGTAGGAACATACCTCAACATTGTAAAAACTGTATGTGCTAAACCTAAGGTCAACAACATTCTAAATGAAGAAAAAAATGAAAGCATTTCCTCTATAAACTGGAACAAGACAGTAATGTGCTCTTTGACCACTCCTATTTACCATATTCCTTGAAACCCTAGCCAGAGTAATGAGACAAAAGAATGAAACTAAAGGGATATGAATAGCAAAAGAAGAACGCAAAATATCCCTATTTGCCAATGACATGGTTCTATATTTAGAAAATAAAAAAACACTCCACCAGAAAACTTCTAGAACTCATAAATTAGTTCAATAAAGTAGCAGGATATAAAATTAATATCCATAAATCCATTGAATTCCTATACATCAGTGATAAATAGACTAAAAGAGAAATTAGAAAAATTATCCCTTTCAGAATAGTCTCAAAAAAAAAAAAAGAATAAAACATTTGGGTCAATCTAACAAAAGAGGTGAAAGACCTCTACAATGAAAACTAAATAACCCTAAAGAAACAAATTAAAGAAAATCTTAAAAGATGGAAAAAATCTCCCATGTTCTTGGATAGGCAGAATTAATATTGTCAAATTGGCCATACTACAAAAAGTACTATACAGACTTAATGCAATTCCTATTAAAATCCCAATGACATTCTTCATAGAAAAAGAAAAACCAAACATGAAATTGATTTGGAAAAATAAGAGACTCAGAATGGCCAAAGCAATCCTCAGTGAGAAAAGTAAAGCAGGCGGTATCACAATACCAGACTTTAAATTATACTAGAAAGCTACAGTACCCCAAATGGCATGGTATTGGCACCAAAAACAAACATGTAGACCTATGTTACAGTATAGAACACACACAGTCAACACACATAGATATAGTTATCTCAGACAAGGATACCATAAACATACATTGGAGAAAAGATAGCCTCTTCAAACAAATGATGCTGAGAAAACTGGAAATCCATATGTAGAAAATAAAATTAAACCCCTATGTTTCACCCTGCATAAAACTCAACTCAAAGTAGATCAAGGACCTAGGCATTAGACCAGAGACCCCGTGTCTACTACAAGAAAAAATAGGCCCAAATCTCCATCATGTCTCCAAATTCCTCAACAAGACTCCTAAAGAAGAAGTAAAATAAAGAATCAATAAATGGGATGACATCAAACTAAAAAGGTTCTTCACAGCAAAGGAAACAATCAAGAACATGAAGAGAGAGCCTATAGAATGGGAGAAAATCTTTGCCACCTGCATCTCAGCAAGAGCATTAATCTTCAGGATATATAAAGAACTCAAAACAGTTAATGTCCCAAAAAATAATAAGAAGAACCCAAACAGTAATGGACAAAAGAGCTGATACTTCACAAAAAAAGAAATACAATCAAGTCAACAAATATATGAAAAAATGTTCAATGTCCCTAGCAATTAGAGAAATGCAAATCACTCCAGTCAGAATGACAATTATCAAGAATACAAGTAACAACAAATATTGGTGAGGATGTACATTGCTGGTGGGAATACACACTGGTGTGAGCACTCTGGAAAGCAGTATGGAGATTCCTCAGAAAACTTGGAATGGAACCACCATTTGACCCAGTTTTCCCATTCCTCTGCACATACCCAAAGGACTTAAAATCAGCATACTACAGTGATGCAAGCACATCAATGTTTATAGCAGCTCAATTCAATAGCTAAGCTATTTAACCAACCTAGGTGCCCTTCAAGTGATGAATGGATAAAGAAAATATGGTACATATATAAAATGGAATATTACTCAGYCATATAGAGAAACAAAATTATGGCCTTTGCCAGTTAATGAATGGAACTGGAGACTATTATGCTAAGTGAAATAAGCCAATCCCAAAAAAACAAAGGCCAAATGTTCCCTTTGCTATGTGGGTGCTAACTCACAATAAGTGGAGGAAGGAAGAAGAAAAGTTCCCTGGATTAGACAATGGGGGATGAAGGAAAGGGAGCAAGGGTGAATACTGGGCCAATTAACTCCACATCATGTAAAACCATAAGAATGGGAAGTCATACTACACTTATGTACAATATGTCAGAATACATTCTACTGTCATGTATAACTAAAAAGAAMAAATCAAAAATTTTTTTTTTGAAAAGCAAATTTTCAATCACTCCAGGACAGCAATGTGGCATCACACTCCTGGAGGCCTGAGCCATGACCCTGCATGCATGTGGGAAGTTACTGGGGCCTTCATCACCAACAGTGATATTAATTCTGTCATCATTTATTAAGCACTTTCTGTGTACCACACTTGGCACTCTGTCTGTTCCCTTTGATAAGCATCTCAACCACCATGAGGCAGTGACTTATTGTAACCCAGATTTTCCAGATGAAACTGATTGAGAGGGTTTGTCCCCTCCGACTCACATGGAGGCAGACAGCAGAACCAGGATTCCAGACAACTGAGTTCTGACCCTAGGCTTGGCCTTCTTGAGCCTCTGGGAGCATTTGATTTGCCTGGAAATCTTATACAGATGCAGGTTTTGGTTCAGCAAGTGAAGCCCAAGATCCCAAATCTCACCAGAGTTCTGCTGGTGCTGCTGGGCCACACGTTGAGGCTCTGAACGAAATCCATTCAATCTCATTCCCCATCAACAAGAGAGTTTGAATATGCACCTCAAAATACAGGTGTTTCTTTATTCATAAGGCATGTGCACATAACACTAAAATAATACACTAGGCAAAGTGTCTGCAGTTCTCAGCTGTTAACATGACCTTAAAATGAAAATAGAAATTTAAAAAGAAGGCATAAAATACCAAGCATATGTGGAAGTTTTAATATTTGCTCCCTAATGGAGTATCTTATATGCACAGCCATCTACTCTGCAGTCTCCTGTTACTCAGTGAAAAGGTCACTGTACTCTAACCCAGTTCCAATGCTCAGCGMAGCATTCAGAACTGGGAGAATGAGATTAGTTCCTAATGTTACTAGGTACTTTTGGAAGTAATACCTCAGATTCCTACAATTGTACGCCAAGAGGACCAAATTTATAGGAATGTCTTCATGGCAGAGGCCTGGCCTCTGGTATGGAGAATGATTCTACAGGTTTCACAAAAATAAGTAAGACTTATGTAACAGTCATGTCCCACATTACTGTGCTGGCTTTGAGAGCCTATTGTTGGATCTCAAAGTTGTTGTTTTTCTTTTCTTTCTTTCTTTTTTTTTTTTTGGACCCAGGATTAAACTCAGAGGCGCTTAACCTCTGAGTCACATCCCTAGTTACTTAGGGCCTGGCGTAAATTGCCGAGGCTGGCTTGGAACTTGTGATCCTCCTGCCTCAGCCTCCTGAGCCTCTGGGATCACAGGCATGTGCCATGCTGGATCCTGTGTTTTAATGAGAATCATAGCAGCGCTGTCTCCAGRCCACTTACAATGCCAGGGACATTCCAGTTCTCACCATGTGGTCACCCCGTATTCTCAACATCTAGTTGTGCTAAAGTCTAAACCCTGGCTAACGTCAAATGGTCTGATGCTTCTGTATCACGAAAGGTCCTGAGAACACTCAGCACTGCGAGGAACCAGTTGCGTTTCCATAGACAGCTACGGCGTTACTTACAACTGCTGGTCCCAGAGGCTGCTGTGATAACAGCAGTGTTGAATCTGGTGGTTCTTTCAAACTGCTGGACGGCTATATTCTAATTCAAGACCTAGAGTCAGCTGCATTCTATTGACTCCTCACACACCACAGCTTTCCACGAAGTCCACCTGCCACCAAGTGAGCCTACAGACTTCATCAGTGGCTCTTTGTTCGACCCTCGACTGAATCTCTCCAAGTCAATGAAGGCTCTTCAGGGAACTCTTTCCTGAGGTCCTGAGCACCAGTAGTGCTCTGGGCAAGCAGCAGGACAGACATATACCTGCTGGTTAGTCAAATGGTGCTCTTACCTTATCAGAGCTCAAGAAAGCATTAACWTGGGAGGCCAAGGGCCATCATGGTCACTGCCATAGTCTTCATGGGCTCTAAGATAATGCTATGTACACAGAAGACGACAGAAAAAATCTAAGGTATGTGATTTAAATAATCAATTATATGATGATTAAAAATGGACTGTATTACCCTAGTCAACACCTGACTGTGCAGATGTGGGAATTCGCTTCCCTCTGGAGCCCGATCCTCTCACCCTACACTAGGAAAGTTCCTGGACATCTCTGAAYCCCATTACAGCATTGGCACTTCATGCCCTCCCTCTGGACAGCCTTTTTGGAAACCCACAAGTTTGGTTCTTCACATGAGTTAACTCACATGCTGGGACCTTGCTTGGCTCTGCACGAGTTCCTTCCAGCTCCTGGCCAGCCTCATTCACACACCAGCAGCTCCGAAGGTCGAAGTGTGACAGAGGTGTGCTGAAGTCTGAGTASGGCCCTGGGTATCGGCCAAGCTGGCCATTTAGGATCTGCCAAAAGAGGTAGGGATCCAGGAGGACATTCTCCCCGGGGAGAGTCATATTCCTTTCCAATGATGCCAGGGGGACATCTTGAAAGAAAGAATATTGAGCCAACACTGGAAAGATGCCCTGTTGGCCAGCCTCATACAGGTTTTGAACAAAGAGACGGAAGTTTCTGGAAGCTGCTTCTCTATAGCTCATGATCTTCATTAGCAGCGCAGCCGGGGTCAGCTCCTGGCCATCCGTGTTCTGAGCCCTCCATTGCTCGTACCACTCAAAGGCCTGCTCGGGGGGCCCATCGCATTGCACTGGGTTCCACTGTCCCCCCACCCTGCACTGTGGGACGTAGATGCTGGAGATGGTGGGTGGCATGCTGGAGTTGGCCATCAGGACCCTCACCATCCCAAAGAAAGCTTTCTCGGCCTGCAACTGACAGGGGGTGGGACCTGGGGAGGAACAAGGAACAGGTACTTCAGGTTAGCAAGTTTAATAAGCCAGAAAAACCAAGATAAGACCACTTATTGTCCAAGCTTGATCTAAAACTTTATGCAGCCACAGTAACCTGTCTGAATAACACCTAGACAAAGATCGACCCAAGACCCATAGAGACCAGCTGGTGACAGCACTACAGAAACTTATGTATCAGTTCTTTGAAGACACTTCATTCCTTAGACTGCTTAATATTATTCATTCTTTCCTGGATAATTGCTAATTTAAGTCCCTAATTTTGCCCTTCATTCAATCTACCCTTTCACATAAGCAAATTCATATTTCTGCACTGCACTGGGTTTGGGGACCCAAAGAAGGACTCCACAGACTTACATTGCTTGGGCTCGCCAATTATACTTCGAGTCCCAGGAATAGCCTGACCCTCAGCATCCACACAGTAGCACTCGGAATTGAAGCATTGGACAGGCAGGAAGTGACCCTCACTAGTACAAGAAGGGACAAACAAGCTGGAGCCAGCAGGCTGGCTGCCCATGAGGCTTTGCATGCGAGCCCTTTGCTTCTCACACTCTGTGGGGCACCTCGGTCGTCCACCTCGGACTCTGGAGCCAGGAAGTTCTTTGCCCCGGGCATCCACACACCAGCACTCTCCAGCAAAGCACTGGACATCCGCATAGTTTCCTTCAGGTGTGCACGAGGGGACAAAAAGCCTGCCAGGGGTCTGCTCACAGACCTGGGAGCTGAGAGCTACTTCCATCACGTCACCTAGATCCCCCGCCACATCTTCTGGTACGGAAATGGCATGCTGCAGGAAGACAAGGAATTCTGGAAGCTCCAGGAGAGAAGCAAGGAATTTTAAGGCCTTTTGGTTCTCTTGCAAATTGACTTCAAATCCAAAGCTGCCCACAAGTGGCTTATTCACAGCAGTGTCCTTCGAGGCACTGAGAGTCCCTGTGGTAGAATTTGAAGCCAATCCCACGGAGGGTGTCTTGGCTAGTTCTATTGGTCCCCCTCCATTCTGGAAGCCTGAGAGACCAAGTTGCTGGAAAAATTGACTGAAGTTAAATGTGCCTCTCATGCCAAGGGCTCCAGACAAGTTAAACTGGCCAACATTTACCAAAAATTTCCCTCCAAAAAGGTTTTGCTGGAGTCGCTTTGGGTTGGTGGTAAACCGAAGGGCAAGACGAGCCAGCTCCCGGGAGGGAAAAATGGCCCTCATGGCTTCTTTGAGTAGACCCTCAGATGGAGAGAACTGTGGATCCTGCCCCTGTGCCACTGGGCGGAGGAGCCCAGAGTCAACCAGCAGCTCCTTGATCATGGGGGCGCAGGATGTGGCTGAACTGGTTCCTCTCTGAGAGACCCGCCTTTTCCCGGGAGCAGAGAACAAGTCCTGCTGGCTGAAGTAGCCTGAGGTCCCAAAGTAGAGCCTGGTCAAGGCCTGCCGCCTTCCTGAGGCACAAGACTGGTCTTCAGCTGCAGGAGACACAGAAGCAGAGACGTGCTTTTAGCATCACACCCTGAGAGAGCCCTCAGGCTTTTCCGGCGGTCAGATGCCAAGAATTCAACCCAGAACACCTGTATTTTGGACCACTTTCTTCTCTTTGTCCTTTGACTTTTTTCTTCCACTCTGAGCCATCTCCGTGTGGCCATTTGGGGGCGTGACTTCCAGGCTACACTATCACTCTCCCGGCCTTCCCTAGGGGCCCATTCTTTTCTAAAGCAAGTCTCAGAGATGTGGGGCTGTTCCTGAGACTCTGACCACATTGCTAACAGTACGGGGTTGAATGGTTCCCCTCYCCCCAAAAGTATTCATATCTACCTAGATCCTGAGAATGTGACCTTATTTAGAATAGGGTCTTAGCACATATTCTTAAATGGGAATATTTCCCTATATTGTAATATGTAATATTAAAATTATAGGAAATGTCATTTTACCATTCTATACTATAATACCCACCCAACAGACACACTTGACACATCCTCTGGGCTTCTTGGTCTTTCCTTGAGATTACTAATAAGCAGATATTTAACTCAGTCACCTCACGCATGGCCAGGCCATTCTATCCAAACAGCCTGGGTTGATAGTCATCACCATGAGGAAAGAAATGCAAAATTCAAATGCTAAGTGGCAATCTCAGCAAGTTCAATAAGCCAATGAAACCATAAATCTTGGGGGGCTTTTTTAAACAACCTACCCCACCCTCAACATTTTAAAATATTTTTTTCCTCTCAATTCACACAGATRTCAGAAAAGAGAGTCAGACAATTTCCCTGTGTATCCAAGCAGCAGAGAAAGAACTGGAATATGTGATGAAGTCGGGAAAGACCGGCAGCCTAAGAGCATCAGCTCCTGCAGGGAGGCATGGGGAGGTAAAGTCCACTGCTCTGCCTCAGCACTGGAGCTTAACCCTGCTATGCATTTGTTAGGGGTGTTGCCAAGGCAAAGAAATCCATGTGGCATTTGTTTCCACAGCAAGAGCACTGACACACCCAAGAGAAAAGGTAAAAACGTGTGCCCCACTGTGACCCATCTGTTCAGATAGAGTTATTGTCTTTCATTGAAAAGCCAATTCTTCACCTCCACTCGAAAGTGGAAGGCATAACATTCTCCAGGTTTCAACAGAACTGAGAGGGATCTTAAATACTTCCAAATCAGAACCTCAAAATCCTCTTTCTTGACATCCTGACACTCCGMAAATAGAATACAACTAAACACCATGCAGAATACTTAAAGTGTTGAGTTGGAGAGGATTTAACAGGAACTACTGAGTGAATGTTAACGTGTCCATGTTGAAGTTACACAAAGACGTGCATTCCTCCTTCCCTGTTTCAAGTCTTCCTGAAGCCCTAGTCTTCCTGAAAGCCGTGAGAGCTCCTCCCTGACCCCATCAGCAAGATCTCACTGGAAGAGGGAACAAACACACTCTTGCTGGAATGCCCAGTGAGAGTTCTCAAGTTCATAGCCTTCCCTCCTGTGTTGGTCAGCTTTCTGTTACTGTGACAAAAGTCCTGGGCTGGGGCTGGGGCTCAGTGGTCGGGCGTTCGCCTAGTGCGTAAGGGACCCTGGCTTCCATCCTCAGCTCAACCTAAAAACAAATAAATAAAACAAAGGTATCGTGTCCAACTACAACCAAAAAATTTAAAAAGAAAAAAAAGAGGAAAGATTTATTTTGACTCATGTTTCAGTATATGGTCAGCTGGTTGCATTATCCTGGGCCTATGGTAAGACAGAGCCTTACGGCAGGGGGACATGGCTGAGCAAAGTTGTTCACTTCACACCGCATGGAAGCAGAGAGACAGACTGGGGGCTAAGGATAAGATATAGTCCCCAAGGGCATGCCCTCAAGGACACACTCTCCCCAACTAGGCCCCACCTCCTATAGTTCCCAATAGTCTATTCAGTTATTAATCCATCAGTGAATTAATCCAACGATGAGGTCAGAGCCCTCATGACGCATCACTTCCCAGATGCCCCATCTCTGAACATTGCTCCATTGGGAACCGAATCTTCAACGTGTAAACTTTTGGGGGACATTTTATACTCAAACCGTAATAATTCCTTCTACTTTCATATTTGGTCTCTATACTGAATTGAATAGTGTCCCTCAAAATTCTTTCCATAGTTATAAAATCCACTCCTATTTGGCAAAGTGTCATTGTAGATAAAATTGGTTAAGTAAGATCAAGTCATATTGCACTGGGGGGAAGGGGGAGTCCCTTAATGCAACGTGACGGATGTTCTTGTTTGAAGAAAAGAGACCAGACACCAGCACAGAGGGAAGACAGCATGTGACAATGCAGGCAAAGACTGGAAGTATGCCACCCTGGCYGAGGAGTGCCAAGGGTTTCTGGTGACCACTATGAGCTTGGGAAGGCCAGGGAGACCCCCCTGTAGAGCCCCTAGAGAGAGTGCGGCCCTACTGACCCCATGATTTTGGACTTGCAGTCACCAGAACTGTGGTCGTTCTAAGCTGCCCAGGTTGTGACGACTTCTTGTCATAAGCTCAGGGTTGAAGTCCTCACCTCTCTCTCCAGGACACCACAGTGAACTTCCGGTTGGCCCTGGCCTCCAGTCCATTGTGCCCTTCAGCTCTGCTCTAACCTTTTGGGGGATCGGCTTACACACGAAGCCCATCAGGCCCCTCCAGCTTGCAGCCTCCATCTCCCCTGACCTCCAGCATGAAGGCCCTCCAGCATAAAGGCCRGAGCCCTGTTATGTAAGAACCCCTTGTCGTGTGCCTGGGCTTTCCCAAGTCTTAGAGGGCCCAGCAGGTCCTGGTCAGACTCCAGGTATCCTTGCTACCCTTCTTTCAGACGCAGTGTCCCTCAACAGAGCCATCCTGCRCTCCATGCCTGTCATTTCTTCTCTTGCTCTCTCTGTGGAGACCCTGTCCTCCCTTTCCTCCTTCAGGATCCAGGGGCACCCCGTCCTCACACCCAGGGCACAGCACTGGCAGACGTCCCCCTTTATGCTCCCTCAGCTCCCAGACACCCTTCCCCCATGGCACCGCTGAGCCCTGGATATSCCCTGAGCTCGCGAGGTCGGACACAAGATGAGACCCTGTTGGAAGTTTATGGCAACAGACCCCATTTCATGCACATGGAGCTCAAAGGGCCAGCAGGGCACTCGGGAGGCAGTTAATCCATGGGCTGGAGAGAGGACAGTCCCCAGAAACAGTGGATGGAACCTGAGAAGGTCCGAGGAGGACAGGCCCCCACCCCTGGAGAGGAGACCCACCGCAAGATGGCAGCTCCCCTTGCTGCCGAGTCCCAGGGATCTCCTTCCCCCGGGCATCCACACACCAGCACGGCCCTTCCGTCTGGCACTGCACTGCCCGGTAGTCTCCATTGCGGTGGCAGCTTGGAACATGGGGGTGGCCAAAGCTGGTTGCTGCAAACCGCTCCACTTCACATTTGGTGGGGCCTAGAAGAGATGGGTGTGGTCAAAGAGAGAGGAACGAGGCCCGTGCGCCCACAGCAGGCACTGCTGTCTGGTACTGTGAATTCTCACATCCCTGCCTTTACTCAAGTGGAGGTGCAGCCACGCAGACTGCATTGATCCTAAACCCAGGCTGTTCCCTCTAGCAGAAACACATTGTCCCCGCTCTGTACTTACATCGGAATCTGCCAGAGGTGACTAGCTGAACTGCAAGGAACCGTCTCTGCAATATCCGGTACAGGGTGGTTTCAGCAAAGGTGGAAGGCAGGTCCAGGCCAGCAAAAATGGTGTCGTAAATTTCATCTAGTAACAACTCCAAACCTGAGCAAAGGCAGCCAGTATTTTAGGGAGGAACTCATTCAGAAAGAAAGCCCTGACCTCTCTGGGCTAACAGATATCCAGAGGGACAGAGCCTTTACCAACAGCATCATGCATCGGTTCTGAACAACACTTTAATAATTCCCAAAATYGGGGCTGCCCGTGTAGTTGGGCAGGTTGCTCATTGCACAAAGCATCTGCCTAGAGAATGAGCAGAATGCCGCTCACCAAGCACAGAGCTGTATTCTCCCCTTTAGCACAAATGGGGGTGCTCTGGGAGCTAGCAGCAGCTGCATTCAGTGTACTACAGGGAAATGTTTGCAAAGGCCACTGCCCCACCACACCCGCAGCAGCCTGGCAGGGGAACAAGCAGGCATCACGGTTTCTGCTTTACTTGTGATGAGGATTCTCCATCATGGAACCCCACTCCCCTTCAGGGGGCCTGAGGGGGCTCCCTCACCTGTCTCCGCCAGTTCCCGCCCTTGGCTGTCAGCACAGTAACAGTACCCAGACACCTCAGGGAACCTGCTCCGGAAGGAACTGAAGGTCACAAATGCCTCTGGGAACCTGAGGGAGAATGGGATTCATGGTCACCACTTCATAGGAGGGAAGCAGCTCCAGCTGTCCCCATCCAAAGAGATGTGGCCACCTGCTCTCCCTCAGAGAAGGAATGTGTACCGTAGCTCGCAAGCCACTCACTGCACCTTCAGAGAGTGCATTTCTTTCCCAATCTGTCTACCCTTGAGAGCAAAGCTGGACCTGGTAAAGGAAAACTGGGCTGAGCTGTCTCCTACCCATTCGTTTTTTTTTATGTCCATGAACACAGTTCTCAGGGCCAGGTGGAAACCAGGGAGTGGACATTTAACTGGCTCCTCCGCTAGCATGTATCTCTAGAGACAAAAAACCAAGTTTGCTTTGCAAATGTAGTACACTGTAGATGATCTAATTTTGTGAGATCAAATGATTTCAAGGATCTTTACGACTTTTCAAGAGTTTGAAAAAAATTCTCTCATAGGAGATCTTTAAGAAGAAAATTTTCATTTCATATTAAAAAACACACACACAAAATCGGGCTGGGGTTGTGGCTCAGTGGTAGAGTGCATGTCTAGCACATGTGAGGCACTGGGTTCAATCTTCAGCACTGCATAAATATAAAATAAATATATGGTGTGTCCATCAACAACTAAAAAATAAATATTGAAAAATAAACACAAAATCAATGTGATGTCACAAACAAGGGCACCACCTTAAGTTGAGGAAAAGTCAGCGTTAGTCATGTGTACCCTTGTCAATTGCTACAAGAAGCTCTTCAGCTGGGTCCCCATTCTAGAACTAATAGGAATCTAAAGTATAGAAATCCAGATTGAGGATTTCTTCCCAGAGGCAATGCTTTAGTGACCAGAGAAGWATTTTTCATCTTTAGACAATATCGATACTTTTTTTTCCAATCCCTACATAACTAGCACCTGGTCCTCATCATGGTTTCTCCCTGTGTTGGGGATTGGACCCCTCGCAGCAAATTCACACAGTAAGAGCTCTTAGCACTAACAGATGGTCAGTGATGGGGAAAAAAATTAAAAAAGCATAGTCCATCTCCTAAATGGAACCAAATACCAGAGTTGAGGAAGCTACATAGAACTCTAGCTAAAAGTGGACATGATGGCGTATGTAGAAAGGCTGCAGTGCATATAAGATGGCGTGCACCCACCGCAGCAACCACTATGGAAACCAGTACTGCAAGACATTGCATGATGTGTGTAGCTGCCCAGATTCTGGACATGTGGGTGCAATGAGGATGAACTAATTTGAATGGAAATAAATGTGCAAAACAAAAGCTTTGTAAACACTGCAAGATTATGGATTTTTTCATGCTGTTGGTTTGTTATTGTGTGTCTGTGGATTATATAAAAAAAGAATGTTACCATAAGAGTATTTTAAAAATTACTTTACCCAGTTGCCACTGATAGGATGCACATAAGAAAAACATTTGTTTTTTGGAAACTGAAGAAATTCAGTTCTAAAAGTACTAATAATGGTATAAGAATTGTTTCTATTTATTGAGCACTAGTTTGCAAAACACAATCTGTGAAATATCTAATATATATTGACTCATTTAATCCATCTAATGCTTTTAAAAGGAAGGAGGTATGATTTTTAGACCACTCTACAGTGAGGTGTGTGTCGCCGTCTTGGTCTAGAGGTGGGAACTGGTGTGCTCTCCCTGCTCTTAGCCACCTCATGATAGCTGCCTCTATCAGTGGTGTCACTTATGTGTGCTTGGCTGTACCTGGCTCCACTCCCTTAACGGGCAAGGTACATGGGTGTGTTCTGACAGTCTCCTCCGCATTCCCAACACCTCGCGTCACCTGGCATCTAATAGATGAAGATACATGTGTTGCATATGTACATTGACCAGTTACCTGGAGGCTTTATTCCAGCATGAAGTGCAGGGACTTCACATCATTCTCAGGTTCTGCTCTCCTGATGCGACCCAGAGGCCTGCTTTGGCCTCTTTGCCCAGGAAAGGCATGGCCTCCAGGGTCTTTGTCATTTCACTCAACCATGTTAGGATCAAAACCCCTCATTCCTAGCAGGCATGCTCCTATAAACTGCCTGCACCTATTGTGCTCGTGGTGTGGACCTCGAGTTCTGGTATCTCCTCTGCCTGCATCCTGGAGGGTGCCCTGGCTTCGCTGGAGGAAGGCCCATCCTATCCTCCTGAGAACATTGCTCTAGGGTTAGATCGCCTGAGTCACTAGGGCTGTCTTTTCTCACCCCTGGGACAGATGTTCTGTGCTGTCATCTTTAATCCCTTCTTCCCAGTTCTGTACCTAGTGAGAAGAGCTAAGGACCTGAAGCGGAACATACCAGAATTCCTGCCCTGGTCTACCCACACGTGATGATTGCTGTTTATTGCTCTTTAAAAATGACAAATATTGAACAATCAGATACTGAAGCCAAGCCCTCACCATTTTTATCTCATTTAATTCTCACAAGAGTCCTTTCATAACATCTCCATTTCACAAATGAGAAATCAGGAATTCAGAGTGGTGAGGTAGTCAAGCCAAGCTCACGGAGCTGGGCCAGGTATCCTGAGGTCACTTCCAGTGCTCTTTCAACACAGAGGGTGGCCAGATGGTGAGACTATGCTTAAATGCAACATGGTTGTTGGAGGCCTAACCTGCAACCAGCGGTGAGTCTAAGCTCCAGATCATTCCAAGTTCTTGTGTTCCTACAATCCAATCTACTACAACCTAATTTTTGTGGATAATTTTTTAAATGAATGAATTTTGGACTCCACCTCCAGCATAATAATTTGCCCTATCAAGGTTGTTTTTGTCATTGCTTCTGCTATTGTCATTGGTGACTTGCTGTCACCAGGGCAGGAAGTTTTCTGCTATGCTTTCAACTTCTCATTAGATTTTATATCCCACTTCAACCAAGGAAACGCAGACTTCTGAAACAGAACTGAAATAACTGATAAAGAGGACAGCCCTGGCTCCATCCATATACTGAGGTCAGCTAGGTTTGGCCAAAGAATACTGCTAGAGGTGGTGGGTTTGAGTGGGATTCTACAGCCCAGAAGGGCGACTCAACTAGGAGAGAAGGAAGAATGAGAATGTGTCCAGAAAGATTATTAAAATGCCTCCAACTTCTGGTAGAAGACAGACCAGTGTGGGCAGAGGAGAAAACACAGATGTTGGCAGTCAGACAGAGATGCAAGTACAGTGGAGAAGGCTGAGGACCAGCAGCAGTGTCACTGAAATACAGTGCATGGCAATACGGTCTCTGCTGCTTCTCGTGGGCACTGGCCTTAGGAAACCAGAGGTTTCACTGCTCATTGGTACCAGGATATTGTCAGGTCATATAGCCCCATGTGGCATATGGCATGTGGTGAGGACCTTTGTGAGGACCCCAGGACCAATGTGTCCTCCTCAATAGGAGAGAGACATTGTGTTCTCCTGGGAAAYGGGCTTCTTTTCATCTGGTAGAAACTGAATAACAGTTTCATCTTTTCATCTTTTCTCTGGAAATAGGGTGTTCAGAGACAAATATGAAACCTCTCACACTTGTCATCACTTTACAGAATGATTGATATGAGCAAATCAATTACCAATCTTTGCCCTGACTTATTCTTTTTGTGGGGAGGGATAGTGAAAATAGAACCCAGAGGGGCTTTACCACTGAGTCACATCCCCAGCCCTTTTTATCTTTTATTTTGAGACAGGGTCTTGCTAAGTTGCTCAGGGCCTCACTGAGATGCTGAAGCTGGCCTTGAACTTACTCTCCTCCTGCCTCAGCCTCCTGAGGTGCTGAGATGACAGGYATGTGCCACCTAACCAGCACCTTGACCTATTCTTATCTTCTACCTTTACTCTGCCCTCCTCACAATTTCCTCTAGTTTCTGCTTTTATCCTGCTCTGGGCATATGGAAGAAGGAAAAAAGATAAAATCAATGCARGGTAATACGCATTGCATCTAGTGGAAAAGGTTGCTTGCATTTTGTTGATCATCTCAGGGTGATCATAGAAGAATCCTCAAAAAGAAAATTCTAGAGGAGAAGCAGGTGATGGCATTGCTGAGTTTATGCTCAAATTGTGTCCAGCCCAGACTTAATAAAGCTCAGTGGAATCTGCMATGCTAGTACCCCCAAGACATCCAGTCAGGCCATTTGCAAAGCAGGATTCCTGCCTCTGGGCTCAGGCAGCAACAACCCATATTCGGATTCKCTGCCTCCTCTCTCTGGTGCTTCCTTCAGAAACCTAACCACCAATTAAATTAGCAACACGTTTGATTCTGCCCTGCACTCCAGTGGGTGCTCCTTAAGAGAGGGTCCATGGCCATGCACAGTGCCTGAGGTATGACCAAGCATCACAGAGATCTCCTGTGAAGGTATCAGAGGAATCATCTGTCAAGATAGCTCCATATGGTCTTTTCCATATTCCAACTTTGGCACATATTAAGATGTACCTGCCCTCTCCCACCAGACAGTGAGGATGGCATTGAGGAGAGGCATGTTGCTGAGAGGTTTGAGTAACCTTAGTTACTGATATGCCTGACACCACATCTCCATTTAAAATCCTCGAGGAAATCCCTTCAGATATTCAATATTCCAAAGTCAAATTGTGACTTTCCTTTTCAAAGGTATTCTCATTGAAAACAGACAAGGAAGTAATCCCTGACTCTCCCCCTCCCTCACTTCCCTATCTGTTTCTTAACACAGTTTACAGATTCCACCTGGTAAACGGTTCTCCAGTCCTGCTCGTCTCYCATCACCCACTCCATCACCTGCTGCAGACAGTGGGCTCCCACCACATGCCTGGCTAACTGCAGTGGCCTCTCAAGKCAGAGTCGTCTCCCAGCACCCACTCTGCTCTTCCCCCACCCTGGGCATTCTTTTCAAACTCCAAATTGGATGGGAATTATGCTATGCCCCCGCCCCCCAGCCAGGCTTAAAAAATTACCCTTTGTCTATCTGAAATTCGTCTGTAACTGGCCACCCTGTGTTTTATTTGGCAACCCAGGTGTTAAGCCTACTCTTACCTGGCCTCCAGGGCTCCTTCCACTCTCCCCAAAGAGTCACTGAGCCTGGGACTGGCCAGGTCTATGTAAGGATCAGAGAATTCCTGGTTCCTGCTGGGCTTGSAGTAACAAACCGCCAGCCCTTCCCGTGATTTTCCTAAACCAGAACTTTCTCTGAGACATGCTTCCATACCAGAAAGGAAGGAGCTCATTTCCGGATGAAACTTTGCATGTTTACCAACAGACGCTCCATTCTCAATTTTGCATTGAACTACACTGCCCTCTTGTGGAAGTAGCTGTGAATTGTTCATCACCTTAACAGGGCACCTGTGCAGTTCCTTGGTGCATCTTCCTGTTCAGTAAGCATTTACTGTGGACCTGCTGTGTGCAAGACTCTGCTACATGCCAGGGGGTGGGGTGAGGAGGGGAGACAGATTCTACTAGCATTCATGGATTAAAGGAGACAGACAGCTCTGGGACACAATCATTATGCTTCCTGAGTTCCTTAACTTCTGTTTCAGATTCCTTGTTTGCATTCTRGAGACTCTGATTACACAATCATTTCCATGAGTATTACAGTAGATAAAAGGATGTAAAATTCCCTGGATATAGTGAGCAATGAAGTGAATTGAGGATGCACCGGTCGCATCTATGAGCGTTGGGTAATTAGGCCATTTGAGCTTCCTACGTGCACACAGGCAGGCCATTCTCTAGTTGCCGGGTGGGGAAATCCAGGCTACATGTGCTGAAACTGGGTGATGTGAGAATTCCCTACAGATGAATGATAGTCTACAATTTTGTCAGTCCCCAATGGTTCATGAGTGGTTTGTCGTCGTATCTTCACTGTGAACTAATGAGCAGGGATTGCCCTCCGTTTCACAGATGGGAACACCAAGACACCCTGCTCTGCAGTGGCAGAGACRGAATGCAGGCCCTGAAGGCAAAAGCTACAGGGCCAAAGAGTGAGGCAAATGGACGGAGTTGGCAGGAGTGAGGAAGAAAAGCTCAGAGGAACCCTGAAGCAGAGGGTGAGCTTTGATCCCAAGAGGGTGGCTCAGGCCCAGCTTCTGGTTGCCACTTGGAAAAGCAAGTAGCCCTCGCCCTGGTTCTTTAGAACCAAAAATTTGAAAGTTTAGGCTTTAGGTTAAACATATGAAATTGTCAATTCTGAACTACACTTTTACCTATAAAAATGAAAACTTAGGGTATAATCTACTAAAAAGTCCCGATTTTTACACGGTTATGCATCTCAAACAAAGCCCATCCATGGGACCAACACAGGTTGCTAGTCTGTGATGCCTCTCTGGCACAGCCTGTGAGAATTTCCCCTCACTCAGAGAGGGAAATGTGGTTTAGGAGGCCAGCCACATGAAGACCCCAGCTCACCAGCAGAATTCCTGCCAGTGTTCACAGATTCGTACTTTACTCTATACACTTCCATTCCATCTGAAGTCTACAGGCATCTTTAAGAGTTCTAGCATCCTGTGATCTGAGGTGCCCATGTTGAATAGCCAGAAGTTACTTGGCTGTCCAGATTTATAAAGCAACTATCACTCTATATTTGTTATTTAAATCATTAAAGTTATTCCCATGGGCACAGGAGGAGCATGCCTGTAATACCACTGACTTGGGAGGCTGAAGCAGGAGGATTGCAAATTCAAAGCCAGTATCAGCAACTTAGCAAGACCTTGTTTCAAAATAAAAAATATATATATATATATATAAAGTACTGGGGATGTACCTCGGTGGTAAAGTGCCCCTGGGTTAAATTTCCAGTAATAAAAAAATTAATTAAAAAATTCATAAGTGCATACATAAGCATTCTTCACAAAAACCCATAAACATAGTTATATCCATGTTTTTAAACATGCTTTCTTTTGTCTTTTTCTGCTGACCCTCCTTCTGCCCACCCCCAACCCCTTCTCAAGAGCAGCCCTGACTATCTAAGTGGCCAATGCTAACAATGTAGAGTGTGCTTATTCAAATGTCTATCCCTGCAGACCTTCACAGACACTAGCATAATTATATAAGCACATACAGAGGATCTTTTTGCTTGTTTCCTTCTTAAAAATCGAATCATGCTATATTACTTGGATTTTAAAACTTTTATCACATAATCTGATAGAGATGGAAGCCCCTCCAAGTTGACTGTCCCAGCTCTAACACACTCATCTGAATGTCTGCTGAAATATTTATGGTATATATACATTTTTTCAGCCATCCACTTTTTAATGATCAGTTTTGTTTCCCCCATTTTCTGCTACAATGAAAGTAGTGTAGCAGGCACTTAGTACATGTGTCCCACATTTTGGTATTGTAATTTTTACGGGCTGGCTGGGCCAGAAGAAATACACACACACACACACACACACACACACACACACATATATATATATAAATAAATATATATATATACATATATATTTTATAATCACAATTATAAATTATACTATATATATGTGTATATATATACATATATATTTACATATATATGTATATATATATATATATATATATTTTAATTGCAATTGCCAGCTTGCTTAAAAATGCTGTAGCTGTAGGCAGCTCTTCACTCCTCACCAGGCTGGGTGTGTGACACACGGGCCCACCACTCCCAATGTGAGTATGAGCTTCATCAAGCGAGGGTCTGGTGATGAGTGGACCCCACRGGATGGCTGTCCTTACCTGTTGTAGCTATGGACCAAATCGAAGATCATCATGTCTGTGRTGTTGACAAATTTGCACTGGACGGGCATAAACTCTCCATCTGCAGAACACTGGGGTGGTGACTTGTCTCCCACCCCATGGAGAAGACGACGGTTCCTTATCTCACAGCTCCTTGGACCTAAACATTTTCAGGAAAAAATGTCAAGTTCCTGCGGACAGGGAGGTGCATGTGTTTCTGCAGTTGAGATACGTGTGCTGATCCTGCCTGTGTGACAGGTAGGACCCCGACAGTGACTAAGACCCGCACCAGGAGACTCACATGCACTCATTGGAATCCCACTTCTGCTTCAGAGAGCATGGGTTGTCTACCGTGTGAAGTATTGGAATAAAATCTGCCTTCATCACGCTTTCCTTTTCTTAGGACCTGGTTCTCTGCCCATTTTGTCAGACCTGAAGGGCTTGGTTTACAGTGAGGAAAACTGCCCCCACCCCTGGGGGTACTGATGCCCCCTGAGACTTACATCGCGTTGGCCTCCCCAGTTGCCGGGTGCCGTACACCTCCATGCCCTCTGCGTCCACGCACCAGCACTGCKCCTGCTGCAGGTCACACTGCACAGGCGAGTAGTCCCCTGAGTCTCSACACTGAGGGAGGTAGGATGTGGCCGTGCTGTTGAGGTAGCTGCTCAGCAAGATTTGCTGCTTGTGCAGCTGGCAGAAGGACAGACCTAGGGGACAAGAGCAGCCTCAGAGCAGTGTTGCAGCGCACTCATCTGTCTAGGGCCAAGGCCATGGAGATGGCTGCTCCCTCCCCAAGGGACACAGCTGAGAGGGAGACAGCATCCCTAGGACCCTCAGGACCCGCATTCAGAGGGTTCTAGCATCCTGTGATCTGAGTCAGAGCAGGGCAGACCTCACTAGAACCATAGGGATCAAGTGCAGGCTCCCTGGCCTTGGCACTGCAGGGGAGATTCAGGCCAGCTGTTAACAGAGCTTTTCTGGATGTGGATTTCCTCATGGCTAGCTCTGTGACCTTGGGAAGSTACTCCACCACTCTGTGCCTCGCATTCCAAATCTACAGAGGAAAGGCCTTCCTCCAGGTGCCTGAGGGAGAGCAACTGAGGCCAACCACCATCCCCCTGTTGAATCCCTACTAAATGCTGTGTTTAATCCTCACATCACCAGAAGGCAGAGTGGATATTCAYGCTGCAGTGAGGGGCTGGGGCTCAGTGAAGGCTTGCAGCCCAGCCAAGGTCATGCCACCTGACTGCGAGGAGCCAGCCCACTGATATTAGAAAGTGAAGTGGAGCCTGAGAAAGCTCTCTGCAGGGGTTAATGGCTCAGCTTGGGGCTCTAGTGTCACGTGGCTCTGGGGCTTTCTCAGGCCCCACTTCACTTTCTCAGGTGATGGGGTTCAAACAACCTCGACCATTTGCCATAGCAATCATTTTTACTAGACAGCGTTTGCCCAAGTCCCACAGCCTAGAGCCATGCTCCCTATGAGACACGCTTCCTGTACTGTCTGGCTTCAGGGCACCTGTTGTCTCTCACTCTTGCTCCCTCGACACCAGGCACAGCTCCTGGCACCTGGGAGGACCTTTGCAGCTACTTTTTGAACAGGTGATTTGAATGTCTCATTTGATTTCCRCAGAGCTCCTCAGGAGACAGGGCCTTGTGTGGATGCAGGGGCTTTTATTCTAACCAGGGCAGCCAGCAGCCCCGGGGCAGACCTTTGCCCCCTGCCTCCAGTCCAGTGCTGATTTCTGCACACCAGGAGTCCTGGCAAGGCCCTGGATCCCTGGGTGCCCCGTCCACACTCACAAGCCTCTGGTCTTCCCTGCCGCCTGCTGCCTGGCACTTCCCTGCCATCAGCACCCACACACCAACAGGAGCGGCCATCATTTCGGCACTGGACAGTCCTGTGGAGAGACATAGGAGGTGTCACTATGATAGGCTCCCAAAGCCACAGGCTRGGTCCCACCTGCTGGGGCCAGGGGCCAGCTTGTTATGTGGGGATGCAGGGTGGGATCAGGCCAGGCCATGGGGTTGTTCCCAGGGAAGTGATGGCTAAGCCAAGACTCATAYGGTGGCTACAGTGGAAGAGAAGGTGCCCAGGAGAGGAGAAGAGCACCTACCAAGCCCTGAGGACGGGACAGACCTGAAACTACAAGTGGCCAGAAAAAGAAAGGTGGGAACCGGGAACCTAAATACAGCCGACAGAAGCCAGGCACCTCTTCCTCCTTCCTCGCCTCCCAGAGTCCCCAGGGGTCCTAGCCCTGGACTAGCAGATCTCTGCACACTCTGGGAGTGTACAAGGTGAGTCTGGGCACGTGAAGAGAGTGCAAGACCACAGTGGGGGTGTTTCTCACATGAGTGTGTCAGAACACAGTTGTGTAGACAGAGTTCCCCTCACTCAGCGTGACTGCAAGAGCGGAGGGGACACGGGTGGCATGCTCATTCAGAGGAATCTGCAAGAAGAGGTATCTAGCTMCCCCCTGCACTACACATCGACTCTCCCAGGGCCCATGCCTGTGTTAGGACAGTGGCCAAGACCCTTTCCAGAGAGGAGTTCACTTGGGACACGGCAGCCCAGAGCCGCCCTGAGAGCCAGGCAGGGTGGGCCAGAGGCGACCCTAGACCCAGAGAGCCAGCTAGCCTCTGCTTCCTGCTACCCAGATTCCTTGTGAGGACAGACACCGGGAGCAGTGGAGGCACCAAGGAGCTCCCTCCTTCTCTTTATTAAAAGGCCACACACACTTATCAGTAAAGCAATCAGAGTAAAAATATTGGCAAGGAGAGAAGGGATCGGTCAGTGGCGAGGGTTGGATTGGGGCTCTCCAGGTCAGATGTCCTGGAGAAGAGAGAAGAGGCCCCCTCCAAATGATGGGGCCACGTCTCATCCACACTGAGGAGTTGGAGGGCACAGCTGAGAGAGTGCGTTAGTGCAAGATGCTCTGTGGGAGCTCATGAAGTCAGACTTACTGGAAACCCCCATCTTCTGAGCACTGGGGAACGTGGTCCGCCCGCTTCAGAAAGGCCGCTTCCCTCTGCAGCTCACAGGGTCGGAGCGGCTGGGCATCCACCTGGTATTCTAAGCAAAGGGAAGTACTTCATGAAAGGAGGGTACAGGTGGGGCTCCAGCAGCAGAGACGGGTCCTGAAGTGCAGATGCTTTTAGCAGCACCGTCATGAATCATAAGGGCCTTGCTGCATACTGGCAGCGCTCCTACTCTTCCCAGGGTAACATCAGCTCATGGGTCCTCCACACTCCCCTGGAAATGACCCATAACATTCTATTCACCATGTGGCACCAAGACTCGGCATCAAAAGTAACCTGCCCCAAGGTTAACTGCTGGGAAGGAAGAGTTCCAGAATAAACCCAAACCAGGACCCCACTCTCACTGGTGGGTCAAGGTCGGAAGGCCAACAGGAACTTGTTCCTGAACTTGTCAAGCCACTCCCTGCAGAGGCAGCCTGTCCACACACAGGGGAGTGCAGAGGAACTGACAGATTCCACAAGCCTGTTCCTCATTGACAGCCCCTGTAACAGGGGATCTTACTCAGGAATCACAGCCAAATCACTGGAAGTGCTACTGAGTACTCATGATGAAGGCACCGAGGGCTGGCACCAGTTCAAAGTCAAACACCATGTGGCTGACCCAGGATGTAACGGGGGTCCAGTCCACTCCTCGGGGAGATTATTTTTTCTACTGCCTGATAGTGACTTCTCAAATACTCAAATGCATGACATAGACTGTGGGGTAGCTAATGAGATAAAGAATCTAACGCCAGTGTCAAAAATCTGGCATAAGAGTGGGCTGAGGAGAGCTAGAATTGAACTGGGAAGATCTAGTTTCCCATTTCCTCTCTACCAGTCACATCTCTGTGATTTTGGGCCATTCAGGTCACCTCTCTGAACTTCGGTGTCTCCATCTGCACACAGCCGGCCTCTGTGTGGGGATTAAATCAGATGGCACATGTTTAAAGGCCCTGGGCGGAGTGGAGCCAACCAACTCGGGGTCGGAAAGCTCCCTCCCCTCCCCTGCTCCATGGACTCTGTTGGAGAACTCACCAAAGATGTTGGCTGACACGGAGCAGGACCAGCCTACCAGGCCAAGGACCCACAGGACCAGGGCCATTTTCCTGGCCCTTCCTGGGATGAAGAGGAAGAGCACTGTCCACCCTCATCCTCTGACAGGGGCACTTTATAGAGCCGTGGCTGGCACGGTCCTTGCACTCAAGGGCTCTCAGGGGGGCAGCAGCTCACTCTGTTTTCTCTGCTGGTCACAAGGAGCCCCTCTCACCTGTGTCCACACCCACGGAAGACCCTCAAGAGGCCAGTGAGGCATGAGAACCTTGTCTAGACAGCAATGCAGGCACCGGGTGGGGTGGCTTCACCAGCCTTTACACGTAGCTCAATGTTGTGTAGCTTCGTGGTGACAGAACCATGCCACCATGGAGGAGAGCCTCCCCTCCCTCTCCTGCCCCTCCCTCTCTCCTTCCCACCTGCTGACCTGCCCTTCCCTTCTGTTACCCTCCTTCCTCTCTCCAGTATTTTCTTTTTAGAGCCCAAGATTTGCAGGTACTATTCTAGCAAGGACATTATGGCAGAGAACAAAACAGGCAAAATCCTGCTCCCCTTAATACAGGGTGTAAGAATGTGAATGAGGGAAGCCGTGTCCACACGTTCCCATTCTTCCTCGTGGCCTCCAGGGAGCAGGACCTGGCCTTTTTTCACAGCACGTGTCTGTCAGTGCGGCTCTGACAGGCTTCCAGCTTCCACCCCTCGCTCCTGATCTGTGTGACCTGGGAAACACTCATGGGTCCTCTTTCTCTAGACAGCAAAGTGGAAAGCAAAGTAACCATGTGTCCACACTTTTTTGGGCACCTGAAAGAGAATAAGCGACATGCTGGCGAGTGCCTGACACTTAGCGCTAGCACTTACCCTCCTTGGCACTTTCTCTTTTTTGCAAAGGGCATTTTGCCAGGTAATGATAAGTGTGCAGAACAGCCCACCAGGTAAGGGGGCAGTGACAGGCTGGGGTAAAGGTCACTGAATGACCCAGAAAGTTCACCGAGGACATGGCCCATGAGAAGAGAGGGAGGGTCATGAGAGAATCTGGGGGAGAATTGGCCCAGGAAGCAGGAAGAGTGGAAGGCTGGCCAGAGGTGGAGTGACCCTCCCCTGGGAGAGGCTGGGGTGCCACCTAGCTGTCATGCTGTAGCCTGCACTCTGAGTCAGGACCCTGTGTTGCTGAACAGTTAATATGTAAAGTTCTTAATACAGGATGTGATGTCCTGTGTCCAATATCGGCCAACGTATCAGTGCTCGAGCTGCAACCACAGAAACACAGAGCATCCCAGACCCGGCAGCTGCCACCACAAATGTTGGTTTTCTCAAACTTCTGCAGGCCGAAGTCCAAGTTGAAGATAATGGCAGGGCTGGCTCCTCCTGAGCATCACTGCTTGGCTTGTTCCTCTGTCCTCGTGGGATCTCTTCTCTCTGTGTATCTGTGTCCTGAGTGCCTCTTCTCATGGGAACACCAGTCAGATTGGAAGGGCCACTCCAAACTCTTTTAACTTAGTCACTTCATTGAGGACCCTATCTCTAAAGACAGTCACATTCTGAGGTCCTGGGGTTGGGACTTCAACATATGAATTTTGGGGACATGGCTCAGCCTCCAAATAGTTACTGACATCACTATTAAATTCATGATACAAACCACAGAAAATAAAATCAACTCGAGCGTCAGGTGTGGGATTAAACCAGGTGGGAAACCCTGCTAAGTCCACCCTTTCTGGGGACCCCACGTGCCCAGGGCTGTCGCAGTGCTTTGTATCTCTGTCTCCAGCTGGACTTATCATCGAGCTCAGGTCCACTCTGTGTGGCTGCTCCACATTCACTCCCAGTTCAACACATCCCAAACCACCTGCACAACGCCCCCACACTGCCGTTTGGCGTGTGAGCTCACCAAGCAGAGCCCTCCCTCCGCTCACTTCTCGGCAACCTCCAAGTGCCTACAGGCAAGGGCTCATTGTCTCTCCATCCTGCCCTCACTCCCTGTTTCCCCACTTCTCCAGCCTTCTTCAGGTCCCCACAGCTCTGGACTAGACCAGAGCAGCTCCTGCCCTGACACTCGCAGCTTCTTAGCAAGCTGCAGGACAGTCCTAGAAAGAATGACCCTCCTGTGGGATGAAGACTCAGGAGGAGGCTTGGGAGAGTCAAGGGCTGAGACATTAATTTGTCCTTGGGAGAACGAAGGATATCAACCCACACAAAGACTTAAGATTTCAGGCCATGATGGTTTGGGGAGATGTACTGGCATTTGCTAGAAAAGAGAATGAGAGGAAGAACTCCCCCAGTCCCCTGCTGTCCCTTTTGTACTGGCCCAGGTCAGCCCATGCTATGGACAGATAGCAGCATCCTTCTCACTAGAGGAACAGAAATGGTGTGGTATCATGTGGTCCCTTGTCATCTCTCCTCTTCAAGGATCCTACGGCAGATGAGTCTTAGAAAAAGTTAACATGGTTCAAGGTGTGAAAGGCTCACCATGCTTCCCATCAACCCAATACGATATGCACCAAGTCTGCCAAGGTTGGCTCTGTGCTGAGTCACTCTTGCTGGCCTGGCACTGGGAAGGAACAGAGTGGAATCAATATGGCCAGGCCCTTGTCTCTGCTCCACTGGCTTTTGTGCTTTAGAGACTCTGGGCTCAGTAACTCTGAAGCAACTGAGGATGAAGAGGACCATGGAGGTGAGAGACAACAGCCTGTGAGCTGATTCCAAATCACAGCCCTCTGGAAGACAGGAGCACAAACACTACATGGGCCAGAGTCCACGGGCTTCCTTCAGAATCCACACCAAGACCCCCCTATGCCTGCAAGGAGAGTGCTTCTCTTCACCCAAGCAGCAGAGCATGGAGCTCAGAGGACCAAGCCAATTGCCTCCTCAATGAGAAAGGGTCCTCTCACAGTGACTCAGCAACCCATCATGGCTGCCCTCCCCACTCTATAGAGCTTCCAAATGCGTAGACTCTCACAGCAACTCTGCATGGAAGACAGGCTCTGCCTCCACCATCACCAAAGGGCAAGCTCCTACTCTCCTTGGCCCCAAGGACAGTGGCCTAACATTTATCTCCTTCATTCCCTAGTATGATGACTTTATGTATAATAAGGACTTAATGAAGACTTGCTAGGAAATAGAACTTTTGGAAAATGGAGGAAGAGATGGTTCCAAATGAAACTCCAGACACCACTCTTCTGAATTCACCCATCAGCTGTCACCCCTGACAGGGAATCACTTAGGAGTCCTTTCTTCCTTATTCTGAGTAGTTGCTGCCATATTGCTGGATTCCATGCTCCTGTTATGGATAGCTTCCCCCACTCCCATATACCCTGTGACTCCAAACCATGTTTCTCTTTCTGTTGGGTGACAGTAATAAAAATTCCTGGCATTTAATTTCTTCATCCACAAAGATGGAGCAGAAATAGTTTTCTTTATGACTTCCTACTAAGTATAGCTGAATCCATGGGCATTATCTATAAACAGATACAAGAAGATACCAAAAGGTTGAGAGGAGGGAGTACACCGGCCAGCAACCTCAGAATCAGAAGGATGATATGGTAGTAGTTCCTTCATTTATGAACTTACTTCTTCTATCACTTCCTTTAAGAATGAAGACGGAATGAAAGAATCTTAGATGAGGAAACCTATAAAAGTCTGTCCCCAAAAGACCTACCCTCAAAGAATAACTACAGAAAGTTCTCCAGACAGAAAGGGAGTGATGAAAGAAGTGAACTGCTCATAGAGATAAAGTGTAGGGAGTGATCCCTGGTCATGAGTTGTCTCAGGGATTTCAGATTGGGTGTTGGAGAAGCTGGCAGTTCACCCCCCTAGCTTCATCATCTATAAAGTTATAATGCTATTAGTGTCTAACCCCTTTAGATAATGTAATCATAAATAAATATAAGCATACATATAGTATAGCACATGGCATGTCAGAAGTACCTAATATTATTTTTCTTGCCAATATGTGGAATTTTAAATGGTGGTAGTCCCAGACACTAGGGTTAAGGTGCATTTCTTTGCCTTAAAAATATCTGCAAATCTCAATTTCTGCTTTCTGTGACCAATGTGCTATGCTGAAGGTGGGGTGCATTTGGCAATATGTCATCCACTAGCTTTAAAATGTGCAGCCATTTACAGCCCTGTCCCACATTGGCTGCTGCCTTGGACTTTGGCTCCTTACATTTTTGTAGCTCTTAGGGAAACATTATCCTTAGGGATATTCTTTTCCTTTTTCCTTATTTTTTTTTTTTAAAGAGAAGCATCATCTTCAGCTTATTAAGTTTTTGAAGGTGTGGCCCCACATCACTGTTGAAGACCAGAAACCTGATGCTCCTGAAAACACTTGCTTTCCCTTGGGGTTTTCAATTGTTCCAGGTCTTGAGTAGTATTCATTTTGCTACTTTATTTTATGTAGTAAATATATATTGGCACTAACATTTTATTTCCCACTGTGGTTCCTCTTTTGATTTCAGGAAGGCTCAGCTTGTTTTAATAGCTTCTTAAGAAACTCATTTCTTCTTGGATTCATTTTGGTCTGGTATGTTTGCTGTATGTGAGCCCTTCTCTATTCTTTTCTTTCTGGAAAACATGTTTTGCTTCTCTCAGATTAGAAGAGAGAAAATCAGTACACCATGGAACTGCCCAAAGCATTAGACTATCTTGTCCAGGGCCACTTCCTGAGCCCCACTGTCAAGGTGTTCATCACTGATCAACAATCCAGATATGCACACTTTATTTTTTCTGACTCCGCTTCAATGGGTCTTATTTTAGTGTGCCTCATCATTCTGTAATTTCCCAGACCTGTTCCTGCAGGGTGTAGGTAGCATCTGTATCTCTACCTCTGCAGAAAGTGGCTACCTCACCTTGACATACAATGTTGGTCCTTCTTGTCCAGCTTCTCACATCTGCCTAGATCACCTGGAAGCATGGGATACAGTGATCGGTTCTTAATGAGATGGTCTCCCTCACCTTATTCGTTTGTGGTTAGCTCCTCAATGGTCCCTTGATCCTAATACTGCCTCTCTATGGAGAAATCCAGCAGAGAGCCAAGATCTGAGGGAAGACTAGTTC